GTGACAGTCTGCCAGGGGCCCCTTCTCCATGCGTCTGCTGTTTGACGACGACATGTTGGCTTACACAGACTCGTGCATAATAAGCTGATAGATCAGCTGTAGAGACATCCTTGATCAGACCTGGCTGAGTAGACCAGGGACGGCAAGATCGGCATGCAAATCCGTCTCATAAGCCCTCGGCCGCTTCTGGTTGCCAATTTCCCGGTGTTGACTTCCCAAAAAACATCAAAAGAGACCTGCAATGGGCTGAGCCCACGGTGAAGGAAAAGAAGACTCCGTTTCCGAACCAGAACCTGCAAGGCCCAGCCACTGCCCGCGCCAGGCTTTCAAGCTACGGCGAGGATGGATCGCGGTGCTGGCCTGGAGAATTGTTCCCGTCGACGCGGACCCATAGTCTGTGCTGGGATCAACAAAGCTTCACCTTCACCAGGCTTCCAGCGATTTGCTCCTGACCCTGGTGCCGTCACATCCTTCCTGCAGCAATGCATCTGGAATGCCATGCCCAAAGGATGGGCCCAGCCATTCTCCCCAAAAGTACGGGCCCACACTTATTGGTGCCCACCAACTTTCTGAGGTTAGCGTCAGAATACAGATTGAAGATCTTCCAGGATAGGGTAATATCGTCACAGTGTCTAATGTGCCTATTGACCGCGAGTCTCACACTGTCTCTGCCTCTTCGGCCTCGAGGGAGGGTACGCCATCTCTGATGAGCCTCCCCCATCTTCGCCAATCTTCATACATGCATATACGATTGCATAGCTTTTCGCAGAGCTGGTCTTTGCATCCTGATATCGTACGGTATTTTGTTTTTTAAATCCCATGACTGGCGGTTGAATGGCATGATGCGTATATGCTCAGAACCCAATGAAGGAGGGGTGTCCCGGTGGTGGCCAGAACAGTCCTCGATCACAGCGGTAGCCCAGCTGAGCAGCCAGTTCTCGCAATCTGGAGCAGTTCGAGGGCGAAACACGATGGGGAAAATAGTCGCCGATGGAATATACTCTGGGAAGGGCGCTGCTTCAGCCAACCATGTCAACCTTGGCTGCTCGAGCTATCCGAAGTCCTTCGGGCCACTGACGAGTTTACCATGTACTGCGCGGTGTAACATCGAGATTCTCAGGGTGGCATTGCTTCGGCTCCAACCAGTTAAAAGGCATTTGCCCTCTGCGCTTACTCCTGGCATCCCAGCACCTGGGGCAGAGATTCTCTCGCTCTTTCTCAACGCCACCCTCCCTACTGCTCAGAATGCCTGGTGCTTTTCAACAAGTGCGTCGACATGACCGCATCACTCCTGCCTCTCCCTCTCCCACCCCAAGACTTCCCAAGGGCAAGAATCGCAGCTACTGACCCCTTCTGCAGGAAGCATGCAGGTAGAGTACACATTTAGCTGAGAGATGAGCGCAAGGACCAGGGTCTGTGTGTCGACGCATCGGAGACATGCAATTCAGCTGCCCAGAGCCCGAATCGGCATCCACAGTAGACATGCCGGGAGATCCCAGGCAATGGCGAGCGGGCGTGCGCGCTGGGCTGCCTTGAGAAAGTTTCGTCAAGCCACACGTCGACCACACCCACCACGCGTGGGAGCTTTGAGACTGGTCCATTTTGTCCAGCTGTAGGGAGAAAAGTGGCCCCTCTGCCACGGGGCACCATCCCACCCTCTACAACAATACCCATACAGCTAGTGGCCAGTCACTCACAGCACAGCGATGGGAGGCACGAGAAGGTGGCCGTGTCATCTTGCCGTCTGGGTGGCCAAAGTGCGAGTCAAGAGAGAGAATTGATCCGGAACCGGCGAGGCGACTTTGGGACCGGCTCGGCAGGAGGACGTACCCTCTTGGCAGGCAAATTGAGACAAGATTTAATGTACATCGGCAGGATAGTTCTGTACTGTAGCTGTGGGATGTGCATTGCATAGTCAGGTCCCATTTTCAAGTTTCCGCCTGGCCGGTTGCTGGCTGGCGGGGCTGGAGGGCGGACAGACACAGACAGCTCTCTCCATACTGTACTGTACATAGTACCCAGGTACTTAGCACCGGATGCATGCCCATAGCTGGTGAGTGGGTGGCAGGCCCAAGACCAAGTCGCGTTGACAGATCAGCTGGCAGACGGGTTCTTCCTTTCCAAGAGGCCGAGCATGGGTGCCCAAAGCATGCTAGCCCAGTGCGTCTCCACTCATCAGCCAGTGCTTTTCTGCTCGGAGGAGAGAGGTGGCAGGGTGGCCTGGGCAGGCCCGGATGGTGGGTGGTGGGTGGTGGGTTATGGGTGATGTTGGTGGTAGTGGTGGGCAGGAGGAGAAGGAGCAGGACAAGGGGAGGTAGAAGTGACAGTGACAGTGACAGTGCCTATTCCTGTGCAGTGAATTGGACTGCTGGAAGTGCCTTGGGTGAAGTGAGTGCTGGACTGCGAGAGTGAGCAAGCATTCAGCACCCCCGTCCGTCAGGTCTGTTTGAAAAGCTGGTGAGGTGGGTGTTGGAAAGGTCTCAGCCCGCCTTCCTCCGCTCGAACTGTCGAATGAGGCAGTACCCCACTTCCTTACTTCCTTGCCTCTTTCCTCCGTGCACAAAAATTCGGTTTACACGCGCAACTCGAGCGCACGGGCCACTCCTGGACGCCGCCGCCGCCGCCGCCGCAGTAGGCAGTCAGTCAGTCAATCACTCAAGTCAATCCATCCGTCGACCTACCTTTAGTCTGGGTAGGGTCGGTACTCTCTGTCTGTCTTCCCAGCAGTGACCTTTCCGTTTCCTCCCAAGCTTCGTCTTCCTCGCCCCCCATCCGATCCACCTACCAACCTAAAATCTTTCTGCCCACAGCACAGCAGCTCAGTCGCCCGCTGACTGTTCTTGTCCTTTCTTGTCTTGTCGAGGGCGCCCGTCCACAATCATCCGCGCGCGCTACGCACGCTACTGTACTAGGCCCCAGCAGCAAGCAGCCTCACCACCTTGCAAGGGTATCGACGATACGCACAAGCTGCTGCTGCTGTTGTTGTTGTTGTTGTTGGTGGTGCTACTGCTGCTACTGCTACTGCTACTGCTTTCTGTACGTGGAGCAAACGGTGAAGACCAGCAGCGAAAGAGCAAGGAAAAGAGACAACCAGCCAGCGCCCAGCCCGGACCTGGAGGTTTGCCAACAGAAGGTGCATCTCGGCGACCGCGAGGACCACCACAGTACAACCTCGAGGGGCTTGGGGATCATCGGGCAGCCACATCGTGATCTACGTCCCCAAGGTGCAGCAACGCCAAAGCACAGGTACTGGCTGCAGTCTGCATTCTGCATTGTGCATCCTACTCAGGTACTCGCTCTGCCGCCAGGCCCGTCTTACCCTCGCGCGCTCTCTCGTTCTCTCTACACAGTACATTGGACAATTTGGACCCGTGGGTGGTGGTCCAGACCCAACCGACCGACCGGCTGGGGGGGACCAGGGTTGGAACTCTATTACGAACTGAGAGGCGGTATTTTCATCGCTGAAGTGACTTCCATCCATCCATCCATTCACCGCAGCCAGGCAGTCGGGAGCTGGGAAGCTGCTGCTGCTGCTGCTGCTGCTGCTGCTGCTCTCTCTCCTCTCTCTCTCCCACTCTTGGTCCCTCTTACTCTCACTCTCACGCTCACCTCCCAGGCAGGCCCCTTCCTTCCGCCTTTGCCTCGCGACTTTTTTCTTCTCCACCCCTGGGATTTCACCTGCTGCTGCACCCGCACCCTTTTTCAGGTCACCCCTCATCTTACCCTCACTCACTCTCACCTCACAATCAAACAATTTCAAATCCTTGGACTGGCCACCTCTATCTGCTGGGTTGCTACCTTGTCCCATCAATCCGGTCTCGACCCTCGACCCTCGACCCTCGAGACCTTGTAACCCCCCCAGTATAAAATCGCGTCGCTGCCCACCTGGCCACGCTAACCCATCCGATCATCCCTCCTTCAAAAATACCAACCAACCTAACCCGGGTAGCCCTTCGTTTGACGGCACCCGACACGACTTAGGGGGAGCTGCAAGTCAACTTAGGCTCGCTCTAGATCTCTCATACCTCGTCACTGCCACGAGGACTGGAGCCATCCATCATCTCAGTAATAAGCATTTGCTGCTGGTTGCGGAAACCCCAGCACATCATAATCCTCGCCAGAAAATACCACTCGCTTGACTTGGTCACTTTGTGGGTGGTCTTGTTGATCCTTCCAACCACAGATCAACACAAGACACGACAAGACACGACGCCTGTCAGGACGGACTCGGACTGACGATCTCATCTCCTGGCAATTCAACAATCCGCCCTGGCCCTCACACCCCATACCCCCCAGCAACACGCTATTTTAGTCGTCGTCATCTCTACCAACTCCGGGGAAAATCAATCCAGAGCACGGGGTACACATAGCCGGAACAGTGCAAGGACAGTCAGTCAGACAGACAGGCAGACAGTCGACAGACAGACGCAGAGAGACGTGTGAGAGACAGACATCCGCACGAGCATCAGGCCCGGACCCGGACCCAGTCCCAGACCTAGGCCCAGCCTTCCTTACTTGCACTGCACTAAAATAGTGTCGTGCTCGCGCTATCTCTGGAGGCTCCACCACGCCTTCTTCCTCGCACTACGGACGGAGTACCGAGTACGTTCAAGGTGCTTAGTCCTGGGGTCCCTTTTTGGTGCGAGATTTCAAAGTCGATTGGACTGGGATTCGAACGGACGACATCATCCAACCTTAAAAGACTGCCCCGGCCGCTCTTGCCTCTAGCGCGCACACTCGCTCTCTCGCTAGAGATTACATATTACACACCAACCAGCACAAGGCCAGGCCAACTTTGATCCTGCACTGCATATCATCGCAAAACATTATACCACCAACCCGCCTTATACCCAGCAGCTGCAGCACGAAGTTGTCTTGACCCACGCTCCGCGCCGCCACTTGACACCAATCGACCTTCTCGGCCGCACAACGACCAGAGTCGGTCTTTTGTCAACACAAACAACCAGTCTTCCACGTCGACCACTGCTTGCATACCGCTTATGGAACGAAGCGCCGCCGCCGATTACTCAGGTTTGCCTTCGCCATATCCTAGCAACTTTGGCGACTCGCGGTCTGAAGCTTCATTATCAGATCCGTCGTCTGCTCAGCAGTACACGTCGCAGTCCGAGGTGCGCCCCAGTGGCTACTCCACCACGGCTACTCCCACGTCCGAGTATAGTGGTTACCCTGCCTCGGCGCGGTCAGGGTCTTTTCCAGAGCATCATCTCCAGCGCGCATACCACCCATCAGGTGTTGGTGGCTCCAGTATGGCGCAAACACCCACAAGTCCGTCCATGCCTTTGCAAGATGGACGCAACCATCAAAATCCCCAGCCAGACCACCAGCAAATCAAATCTGACAATGATGTACCCATAGACCCTAGCATAGCAGCTCCGAGCCCTACGCAGTACGCGTACCCACCACAGAGCCCTTACGGTCAGCCTCCACAAGACATGGCTCATGGGTACGGGCACCACAATGTCTACGCGCAGCCACGACCAGATTGGACTGGGTACGGACAACCCGGCGCGCCCATTACGCCGGGTCATCACGTCTTCCCACAGACTCCGACCAGTGCCTCCACCAGACCGAATCAGGTAGGTCGCGTCGCGTCTCCGCTCCCGTTTGCCGCAGCTGTCGATTTTGTCACTGTCATTGCTTTTTCTGGGGCTGGCGGAAAATGCGGGTTTTCTAAGTACGAAGCTAACATATCCCTTTTAGGTCTACAGCTTCGTGCCTATTCCTGGCGCACAGCAGCACAAGCGACCCAGAAGACGTTATGAGGAGATTGAACGAATGTACAAGTGTGGATGGAACGGCTGCGAGAAGGCATACGGCACACTTAACCACCTGAATGCTCACGTTACCATGCAATCACACGGTCAGAAACGAATCCCCGAAGGTATGTATCAACTGAATTCTCCTCAACTCCGGCATGCCTTACTGGCTGCCCTGATGGCTACACTTTGATCTGTAGCCGCGGACCGCTAGACCAGTTCTCTAGTTGGCCTCGACCATCATCGACCTGGTTGATTTGGTGTAAATGGCAGTTGGCTGTGCTGACACATTTGTTTCTTTACGCAGAGTTTAAGGAAATCCGCAAGGAATGGAAGGCGCGCAAGAAGGCCGAAGAGGCAGAGCGCAAGGCTCGCGAGGAGGAGCAGCAACGGACGGCGCAAGCCCAGGCGCAGAATGACCCTCAGGGTGGGCACGACGGCCAGCAGCCCACTCAAGCTTATGGAGGCGCTCGTCTGCCGCCCATTGGATATCAACCGACACAGTATCCGGCCCCGCCGTCCGTGTCACTCCCTGCCGACTACAGCAGCAATTACATCGCTGCTGGCGGCTATAACCCGACGTCGCCTTACCAGCAGTCTCACCAACAGGTCTATGGTCAACGTGCGTATGCCCCCGCGGAAGCGTAGTTGTATTGCCCCCTTGTGCGTGCTGACTTTTTTGCTTTTACAGCGAATGGTGGTCAGTCTAACCACTGATTCTGCTGGCCCCTTTCATTGACGACCGGCTGATCCACAGCGGTAGCCCAAACTCATTTACGATTGTGAAGTTCGGAGACCTAATGCAGCGACATCGTCAGACACCGTTAGCGCTTCACCCTGGTGACGCTCGCCACGAGCACCTAGACAGGATGAGGGTGCCCCCAGGTCATCAAGACTGATGGGTTCTACCCATGTACTTGTTGATTGTTGAGAGATGGTGATCCGGTCCAGATCCAGGAACACATGGCGGCATGGCAGCATGGCAGTATGGATAATGTCGGTGGAGTGGTGCCCCATGGGTCTTTGTTGGCCCGTCGTTTCGTTGCAGTAGAGTTATGAACATGGGGGGAATTACGTATTTGAAAAAAGAAAACACAGAGCAGAAGGAATACACGGTTGGGAAGGCCATGGCAGTACACGTACCTGGTCGGCCAGAAGTTGAGGAAGGGCATTGATGGTTTGAGGAGCTTGGTGTTTATCGGTCGACTGAGCGCGCAGAATCCGCAGGCGCCGAGCCGATGGATCGAGAGATGTGGCAGGACAGGCGCACAGAGTCCCAACGACAACGTGGGGAGGCGCGAGGCAACAGCTAAGACAGACCGATACAGCAATGTAACATCACTCGAATTGAATTTGCTGAGGCGAAGCGCACGAGAGCCATCCGGACGAGGACAGCAAGGGAGTGTGAGCCCTTTGTGCGTGCCGTAGGGCTGAGCTGAGTATGACGGGCTTGTGGGTTTCACGCTGGTGAACTTTCAGGAACGGCATTCAGCAAGGGGAACGGAGAGCGCAAGGCACGAAGATGCAGGTGGTGACAGCGTGCTGGTTGGAGCTTTGGTGTTGGTGGTTGACATGGAGTTGAGTCTGGGTGACCTGAATGAAGCCAGAGAGGTGTACATGCGGTACCAGGGAGCAAGTAGCGCATCGGTACAGTAGACCAGAGAGATACCTGGACTAGGTGCCATGTACAGTACATGCATAGAGATATACGCCCAGGCCCCAGGGCCAGCAGCAGCAGGCAGGTTGTCCTGCATGGCGGCCGGGGTCAAGGGGGGGGGGCCAACGCTAGAAACTTTGTGCTACACACCCTCGGGAATTATGCTTTACGCCCTCTCTGGCTCGTCCATGTCCTGTCGCGTTTTTTGAATCCTTCCCAACACTGATTGATTTATTAAATTGATTGACTGATTGACTGTGAGCTTCCCAAGCTGCGCCACCCGTCTCTCTTACCCACCCCTCCATCCAACCGGGCCTCCCTTCCGTATTCGGTTTCCCGGCTGTCGCGAGGCAAGGGGAAGAAGCTCGGATGGTGTCATTCGGGGGTGCTTTGGGTTTCGAGTGAGGCAGTGAAGGGGGGAGGGGATCATTCATCTCCCGCCCTTCCCCAACAACCTGGTTGGCTGGCTGTGCAGATTTTCCACGGCTCGTCATCTTCTCCCATCCATCCGCCTCCTATTTCTCCGAGACCATCCTCCATCTTCTGTTGCTGCTCTGACGCGCACGGTGCATGTAGGACAGGGCCAGGACAGGGCCAGGACGAGGTGTGGTCGTGGCGTTGGTCGTGGCAGCAGATCAGGGCCGACAGGTTCGCCCGCCATGTGGGTTTCTGTCTCATCGAGAGGGGCGGGTGCGTCCTCGTTGTTGGGGACCGCACCCAAGACTGATGCTGTGCAACCCCGGGGGGGAGAGACCTCTGGGTGTGGGCTTCAGCTACCAGCCCACCCTCGAGGTACTGTACTGCGCTGGGCTGTCATGCCATGTCATGCCATGCCATGCCCATGCCCCATGTCCATGCCCCATGCACAGTTGGGGGCCTGGCTGAGCCAAGCTTATGTCGACGACAGGTCGATCAGATGTCATGATGCTGGTCCGAGGGGTGGTGGTGTGTCTCTCTCCCTCCTGTCTGTGTCTGTGTTCTGTGTTTCTGGGCCCTGGGGCAACACAAGGCTAACGCACGTCATCTTTTAGCTTTTTGCTGTGTTCTCGTGCCAAAAGGCTGGCAGGCCATCCTGACATTCGACAATCCATCAATCAGTCCGTCAATCAATCAATCAATCCGTCAGTCAGTCAGTCAGTGAGCCAGTCAGTCAATCGGACACTCGAGAGAGCTCGAGCATCAGGGATGGCGGGCCTGCCATCGTGCTGTTGGCGCTGTTGCTGCAGCTTACCGGCGCCGGATCTTGCCCCCCGGGTCGGCAAGCCGAATGGGGTGTTTTGCTGTCATATTCTCATCCAGTCGTTCTATTATCGCCGGGTATTGTTTCCTGCTTACATTTGCTTATTTTTACATCTTACCTTTTTACGCTTTCGCCCTCGATCCTCTGACAGCTCGGTCCGTGGGTCTCCATCGGCAGCCGCTGCGCCAACGAATTGACACCCACTCACACTTATACACACGAGTAAGTTCACACGGCCGGTTTTAGGGTGACGCGCTGTCGGGATCTCTTGGGTTCAGGCAGATACGCGAGAAAGTCTAATGTCTGCAAACCCTTGACCTTGTATGGCCGTTCTTGTGACGGCCGTGGGCCCACGATCCCGGTCCATTTGCCCTTCATCTTTCCCCTCCCCTGGAGGTTTCGGTCTTGGGGCAAAACCCAAAATCGCCGCCATCCAACCCCCCATCCCAACCACGATCTCCCCACGCGATAATAATTCCCCACCCTACTCTTAATAGCACGAGCACTAAAGTGGCGTGAGAGTGGCACCGTGAAGCTTTACTGGCCTTCCCGGGGACGGTCTCATTCGGGAGCGGGTGAGCCAGCGAGCGAAACCAAACGAACTCGTCCTGCCTAAGGTTAAGTTAGGCTCATAGACCGGACGAAGCTTGGGAGGCGGGCGATGTGACCATGCCGGGTGTCCGTCACCACGCGACCGAGCCGTCAAGCCGACGGCGTTCCGGGGTCCTGGGCTTGGGATCGGGCGGGGAGTCGCAACGCCGGCATTCACGCCATGGTGTTTTCAGACTACACACGTGCGTATGGACGTTTATATGCACGAATGTAGAGATATATGCCTATGTGCCCTACATGTAAATCTATATACATCCGGACATACATACATACATACATATATATTGATTTATATATATACACACACATACACACAACACACTCTCACACACTGCGGGTTAAAGCGATGCAACGATACACGAGCCAGGCTCGCAGCAACACTGATCCGAGCCACCCGTCCGTCATATCTGCGGGTCCCCTCCCCGGTGGCCACCCTTCGCGACCCAAAGAGATACTCAATAATTCCGTCACCCGCCAGTCATTTATCGATCGACGTTGGCAGCAACGAGTGAGCACGCATGACCGGGCCAAGGCATACGGGTCCACAATCCGACCCGACATCGCACATTGGCGCACCGCCTCTTTCCCGACTGTTCCCCTACCACACAGGTGACACTGGGGGAGGGGGACACACCTGCGGGCCTGCTGCTGCTGCTGTCGCCCTGCGCATATTCTCGTTTCTGCGCCCATGCGTGTACTGCAGCTCGCGTTCAATCGTGCCAACTCAATTCGACTTGACTTGACTCGACTCAACCGAACCGAACCGAACTGCAAGACCAAGGGTTCTCATTCCGGGCTGTCGATGACGGTGAACCAATTTAGGCAGATCAGCACCTGTGTCCTCTTTTCCCTCTTTTCTCTTTGCTGAGCCGGTGGTCTGCGCAGAATAGAGACGCGGGCACACAAGATGTGGGAATAAACACTGCCCTCAAATTTCCCAGAGGCATGGCGCACTTGGCCGCTATTCGAGCGGCCCGGGTGGTCCCCTTTCCCCCTAATCTTCTTCCTGTCGTCGCCGTTGTGGGGAACCCTTGAAAGTACAGTAGTCTAGCATGGTTCAGAGGGAAAAAACGACGAGTCACTCACCATGGCCGCCGGCCGATGATCGACGCCGGGGGATGGGTCGATGGAGGGAGGGGGGGATGTATAGTGTGCGGATCCCCCTGGGAAACATAGTCGGCCGAAAGAAGCATAGAACTCTGCTCGCTCCGTGCCGAGTCGGGTCGAGCTGAGCCCCGGCTGGTCCGGTCGACGTTGGGCCGGCTGGTCCCTCGGGCTAGCACACCAGAAACGAAGTCCATCGGGAAGCAGGATAGTGCATGAATGGTTGCAGAACCCACTCACCACCGCACCAGTGCTGTTATTACTAGCCGGGTTCTAGGTCATACGCATGTGTATATCTCTAGGGACTAGAGATTCTTTGCCCAGATCCTGGCTCGGTGCTACCACTGCACGCATGCTTGCGCCGGAGAGAACCTTATCTCAACCTTGATCGATGAACCAGACTCCGTTCCTCCTACCATCGTGGTCGAGCTCAGAGCACAAGCTCAAGCCGCTGCTTGATCCGTCCTCGCCGCCGACCCCTGCCGCGGACCCTGATGCTACATTTCGACTGACGCCGGTCACAGCACTATAACTGACACGCATAACCGAAATCATGAACACTGTCTGAGATGCTAAGAAGCAGCACGGCTCTGATTGTTGTCAGGGACAGGCGTCGATGTCAACGCGGAGCTAGAACCTGCGTCCAACTTATGGTAAAGCTTCTCTCTCTGCTTTCCGCGTATTGACATCGGCAAATGGCATAGTTTATCCAACAATTCAGTTTCTCGATAAGCTCTACTAATTGCAGAGCATAAGATCGAAGTTGATGAGACGTTGAACTGGAAAAGGGGGATTGAGAGTGGAATTGCATGGGTAGAGATTAAGAGCATTAATGGTTGGACAAGATCTAGAAGTGATACGAGCGTCGCACCCAAGCTCACGACGAAGGCTGAGACATGACGTCGGCTCCTTACAACCTGTTTTCCCACGGCAGCACGTTTCGATGCCGCCGACCTCCTTTGCCCTTTATCTCTGCGTTTCAACGCGCATCAGCCGCATCTCTTGGAAATCCCAGCAAAGGATCCCAATCTCTCAGGACAAAATGCCTCTTCTTTAAACACAAAGAACGGCAGCGTCGTCCGCCTTCGCTTGAAACCACAATCGTTCCCGGCCATCTCTCGCCTTTCTGTCGCTGAATCTTGTTGTTCAGAGGCCGAGAGAGTCCATGCGTGCATCTTGATTACAGCAATTGTAAACGGTTTTTGTTTTACCCTTGCTTTCTCGTGACTCTGCCAGTCATCCAACACGACCGTCAACAATGGAGTCAATAAGTCTAGGCCCTCCGAGTCAGGAAAACCTGCAACCGGTCTCAACGGACGGCGAACGACCTCCACCAATCCCCATCCCCAAGGCGACACCAAAGCGACCCGACTCGGCGCAGTCCTCAAGCAAGGCGTCCCTTAACTCACACCAGTCAGTCCCCGTCACTGGTACCTTTCCCTTGGGGTCGCTCAGGATCCATCAGGTCATGGATTCTCCCAGGCTGCGGCAAGCAGAAGCGCGGCCACAGGCCGACGTCTCTGAGATGCCTCCGCTAGAAGACAGCCCTGGCGAAGAGTCGGCGTCCCTCGAAGGGGACGTCTTTCTCATCCTCGACCTCCCTCCGAACTCAATTGTGGGCTGCGACGCCAGGGCCATCAGCATCGGCTCTTCAGGGTTCAAGGGCATCCGCGACATCCCTCCGGGCCCTCACTTCGTCTGGGTGTCGGAGCCGAACGCCATGTCCCGCTGCGGGTACTGGTTCATCACGCAGGACAGGGGCCAGGTGCGCGTCAAGCAGTGGGACAAGTACAACGAGGTGCTAGCCCAGCCCGCGAGCCAGTTCGAGCTCCGCGACCACAGGGACAACGTGGCCAGCCTGTACCCACAGCTCGTCTCCTTCAACCACGGGAGTGGCACGACAGCAGCGGCGGCCGGAGGGGCAGGCAGCGAGGACGAGCTGCGCCTCTGGCGCCAGCTGACCTCGGGCATCAGCGAGGGGCTCCTCGGCAGGGTCACGGGGAAGAAGGGCGCGGGCGAGTGGCTGGTGGACACCTCGGACAGCGCGCAGGGCGAGGCCGGCTTCCCGCAGGCAACACAGCTGTACAAGGCGGTCGTCGGGCCGAGGGAGCTGCATTTCCTCTTCCCAGAGGGCGACGTCGACCTCGCCCTCGTCGGCGCCGCAGGAGGAGTGGGCCCGGACCAAGCGCGCAGTGGGCCCCCCGACACGACGGACGACATCCTGCGCCTGCTCGACGCGCCCGGCGCGGCCGCCGCCGAGGACGACGTGCTGGGCGAGCTGCAGCTCACTTTTCTCGCGGGGCTGCACCTGTCGAACCTGTCGTGCGTCGACCAGTGGTGGCACCTGGTGCTCAGGGTGGTGCTGCGCGCGCACGGGCTCGCCGTCGCGCGGCCGCGCCTTGCCGCCGCCCTCGTCCGCACCCTCCACGCGCAGATGGTCTACGACGAGAGGTACATCGCCGGTGGGGAAAGCGGCGGCGACGCCGGACCCGAGGGCGGCGCCCAGGGCACGAGCGTGCTGGACATCATCCCCGGCAACAGGCGCAAGCTCCGCGGCGCGCTGGCGCTGTACAAGCGCAGGCTGGACGAGATACTGCTGGGCCTGCCGCGGGACCGCGCGACGGCCGAGCAGGCGGACGTGGGCCAGGCGTTTGGGGAGCTGGAGGCTTGGTTCTGGAGGTTTGGGTGGGACCTGAGGGCGGATGGCGTCGGGGAGGGCAAGAAGGGCTCTGGTGAGGAGAGAGGCAATTTGGGCCGTGACGATAATGATGATGACGATGATGATGATGACTACCGGCCTGTTATTGTTGATTTGGATGCTAATGGTCGGGAAGTTGGGCTGGTTTCATTCAATTAGATGCCTCATTGCGAGTCACGAGTGTTCTATGGCTGCGTCCTTTTGTCTGATGCATACGGGCGGGAATCTTGACATCCAGTATAGCAGCGGGAGGCCGTCACAAGCGTTGATTCAGGGACCGGGTCATTTTAATGGGCATTGAGTTGGTGCTACAGGGCATATTGCAGTTTTGGACGCTTGAGCAGGCAGCATTCGAAAGAGAACATTTATTAATTGCGAGCATCATTGCATCAGGTCGTACTTAATACAAGCAGCTCAACGAGTGCCAGAGGTAGATGTATTCAAGGAGTGACTTCCCAGGAGTGGCATGAATATACGCATATTTCCATCAAATGGATGGAGGATTGCATGTCACAGAAGTAACGGAATGTTCGGTGTCACATTGGTATTTGTGTCCTGCCACTTCACGATATACCTTGAATCTCGCTCGACGGGCTGGTGGTCTTTGACGATAGGGATTGAAGGGGCTGTGGGCAGTGGGATTAGTCGGCGAACAGAAAGGAATACACGTCCAACTTCTTGCCCAGTCTGAACCTCAGCCATATCTGACACAAGAGAATTTTCTCTCCTGGGTCTCGAAAACTTCTCGACGGATTTCTGGACACCAGGTCTGTAGAGCGAAGATCTAAGTCGCATGTCAAGCATGACACTCGCCAAAGGCAAGCTTGGTACGGCCAGTTCGAGGGCAAGAGTAGTGGACACATCGTGGGCGGAACGAAGCTTGGAAGACCTCTGGTGATTCGACTCTCATTGTCCAAAATAAACAGCACGATTTCGAACCTTTTGGCATTCGCGGAGCTGGTAGGGGTGCGCAACTGCGGAAAGGTCAAGGCACGCATCTGTCTTGTTCTTGAGAACCAGAGCACATCCACACGACCATCATAGTCAAAGCCACACGCTGGAATTGTTGATTGTTCGTTCATTTGCCGTATCCCTTTACTGCAGCCCGGTGGGGCTCTTGCCATGCAAATGCAAACCTGAGAAATAATTTTCCCTTTTGATTCCGTGTTGATCCTTGACATGACTCCTGATCCGCACGAAAACTGAAAAGACCAACGGCAATCCCTCCGAGCCGGTAAGCATTGTCTTCGTCAACGCCACGAGGATTTCCTGTTGCCGCCTCTCTATCGTCAACCTCCCCAGACCAGCACCACCAGCATTGCAGCAGCACTGATCCTCCACGCCATCCCAAGTTTTTCCAACACTTTAACGGTAGGACTTCTGGAATCTGGCGCGGGCACCTGGACCACCGAACTTCTTGGGCTCGCAACGGCGGTTGTCGGCAACAAGGAGGGTACGGTCGAACTGGGTGAGAGCCTGCTTGAGCAGGTTCTTGGTGTGCTCATCGACGAACTTCTGGTTGTAGGCGATCAGGGCCTTGGAGATTGCTTGTCGGATGGCGCTGTTCACATGTCAGCATTCCTGAAGACCCGCAGCAGATCCGGGTTTGCGACGATGTCTGCTATCCAGGCCGGGACCGGGACCGGGACTGGCGGAAACAGAACATCGTCGCAATCCCGAGGCGAGGCGACGTACTAGACCTGAGAAGTGTGACCACCGCCGGAAACACGGACACGGATGTCGAGGCCGGCGAACTTGTCGAGGCCAACAACCAGGAGGGGCTCGTAGACCTGGATAAATAGACTGTCAGCCCTCCATTCTGCATCTGCACTGAGATCCCATCGTGGCTGTGGATTCATCGTCCTCCTCTTGCCCACGATTCGCATCTCCCTTTACACTCCTCCTCCAAAGTGGGGCTTCTTCCAGAGGGACCTCGTTTCGCTCGAGTTCGTACCTTGGTTCGGAGAATGGCAGGCTCAACGAGCTGGAGAGGGCGGCCGTTGACCTTGATCAGACCCTTTCCGGTCTTGGCGTGGGCGACAGCCTAAGAATTTCCAACCACAGTCAGCACTTCTGTAATTCCTTTCTATTGATTGTCGCATTCGCGTTCGGTGGGGCAGGGCCGTGGGAGACGAACTGTCGCATTTCGCTTCTTGCCGAAGCACTGAACTGACTGGGTCGACGCCATTGTTGCGGTGTTGGCTGGGATTGTCAGTGGTTGAGGGAGGAATGTCGTCGACGAGGCTCGTTTCGGTGCGATGGGTTGAATAGGCGGAAGATGATTTTTCGCTGCTGGGGACTGGGCGATTGTGGGCAAATCCCAAGAAATTGACCTTTCCAGATATGGACTAGCATCCCTCCCACACGTGACCTTATCTTATCGGCCGCGACTCTTGGAAACCCAAGAAACCGACGACAACGACGACAACGTCGACGATGACAGAATGAAATAATTCTGAAAAGGCCTGAGACTGCACTCGCAACGATATATGAGGCCTGGCTATAGACAGTCATTACGAAATAATTACGTTGTTCGAGGTAATTTTGACACATCTACCATCACTTGAGTCCCTGAGAGCCAAGGAAAGCGAGTGCCGCTCTCCAACCTAGTTGTACCTCGCATAAGATACTCACTTGCCAAAGACTATACTGGACCTTATTTAGACCGACAAAGATGTCACGAAAAGGAGTCGGCCTGGCGGCCTTCGACCGAAGCCGGATAACCTCTGCCCAATACGCCAGCCACGGCAACACCCTCCGGTCCGCCAACGCCCAGGCCCTGGAGACACAGCTGTCCGTCTTCAGGTCGCTCCTGCAGCAGTTCGCGCAGACCCACGCCAAGGACATCCGGTCGAGCCCCAGCTTCCGCGCTCAGTTCGCGCGCATGTGCGCCGCCATCGGGGTGGACCCCCTGGCGAGCAGCAACAGCGGCGCGTCGGGGGGCTCGATCTGGTCGCAGCTGCTGGGCCGCTCCGTGAACGACTTCTACTTCGAGCTTGCCGTCCGCGTGGTCGAGGTCTGCGGGGAGACGAGGAGTGAGAACGGCGGGCTCATCGAGGTGCGCAAGGTCAAGGAGAGGATCATGAGGGGTCGTATGGAGGGCTCACAGGAGGTCACGGAGTAAGTCCCGCTGTCGAGCCCTTGTCTTACTGGAAACGGATCAAGAGGCTGATGAGTGAAAAGGGATGACATCCTACGAGCTGTTGGTACTCTCAAGCCATTGGGCTCGTCATTCTCTGTGATTAAAGTCGGCAGCAAGCCGTACATCCGCTCGGTTCCAAAGGAGTTGAACACAGATCAGAGCGCAGTCCTCGAGGCGGTCCAGGTGCTCGGATACATCAGCGTCTCCATGCTGATGGCGAATCTCCACTGGACGCGAGCTCGAGCCGGAACTGCGCTGGATGATCTACTGGGCGAGGGCATGCTGTGGATCGATAAGCAGGCCGATGAGTGGGAGTACTGGAGCCCTGGCTTCATGATCGAAGCGCAGGAAATCTTTGCCCCTGAGTGATTAGGCTGAGATGATTGAGCCCACACCCGATGCTGTCGAGTATCTCTCCTGCGCGGCCGAAAGCAGACCACGTGGTCTTCAAGATCCTCAGGCCCCGTCTCTGAAGTTACCAGAGATCACCAAGATGGGAAATCCGATCAAGCCTACTGCCACGGCTCACGCTTTCGGATGCAGGCGATACACCACTATTACGGTGCCACGTGAGGACTGCTGTCTTCCAAGCCAAGGGCAATTCACTCCCTGCGTAACGGCGCGGCAGAATACTACCTGGTGAGGAAACACCACGGCAGCCCAGTGAGTATTCTTTGCGGCGGGTCTTCACTCAGTCTCTGAACTCATCTTCCCAAGCGATCTGGCAAGCTACAACATGAACAGATGGGCAACAGAAGCGCGAGGTAAAGATGAAGCCCGGAGCAATTTAATCGGCTGCCTCGGAGCCTGATTGCACTAACAGCATGGTTCACTTGTGTACGGATAAACAAATAGGCCTCGGCCTCATAGCGAATCTTGTGCACTTCCTTGCATTTTCTTGTGGCATTGGTAATCTACCGCACATAAAGTGATGCGGTCGCTGTGGCCTTGGAGCTCAGACAGTCAACCGCAGCATTCCAAATAAACACTTTAAAAAACTTTTCATGCCGTGCCTCCCCGGACGGAACTATTTCCACCGTCCTCAAGTTGGCATTCCCTCCAGTGGGAATTGCCTCATGAAATCTGATGTCTTGAGGCACTTTAGCAGATACTCTAACATGAAGCCGTGACTGGATGAACACCATGTCAATGTCAGCAAAGGGAAATAATGCCAGCCTCTAGAAACCCCCACCGAAACCAATCTACGAAAAAAACGCCGTAATGTGCCGAAGCCGAGGTGTCTCCTTGTAAAATAAGCGAATCACGTCACAACTGGATGTAAATGGCCGCGTCTGGGGATTAAGGTCTTAGAGCGGTCCTTTTCCACTGTGGCAGTTTACCAACGACGGTTGTTGAGTGGCATAGCGTTGGCGCCTCCTGTTCGGCGTGTCAGAATTTCGTTACTGTGTCTTTCTTGCGTTGTGAGACAGATGCTTACCTCTATCGCCGCCACCTCGGTATCCACCACGGCCTCGGTATCCACCAAAACGGCCACCACCACCGCCACCGTACCTGGTCATCTCAGCCAGACGGGGATCGATCTGCTGCTTAGCCTCCTGGAGGACATTAACGAGATCACGTGCCTGCTTGGAGTCTACAGTTGGGTTAGCAAAGACTATACACGAGCAAAGAAAAATCATGGGTCAAGTACTCACTGTCAGTGGTGAAGAAGGTGATGGCAGTTCCCATCTGTCCAGCACGGCCAGTACGACCAATACGGTGGATGTAATCCTCCGAGTTGTTGGGATAATCATAGTTCAACACGTGAGTAATGTTGCGAACATCTTAAATAAGTATGGTTAGCAGGCGGCAGGTGAGTGGTATAGCAACGTCCCAGCATGGACAGATGGCATGTGACATCTAAGTATGTTCATGCTTTTCTCAGTGGTCTTTCTCCTTGGCAGGAGGGCTATCCCTTGCGAACATCATTGCCGATTGGAAAGTCCATTGCTCCAGGTCCTCGGGCCTTGGGAATCTTGGAGACAGCTTGATCGAGGTCAAGAAATGCCAGCTCTACGCTTGTACCAGGGCAACTGGACAGGTACAAGAGAAGAAGCACGAGTGTAGCACATTTCAGTCCGAGTTCTGCTACAATCGTGAACCCAAGACTCCTCTCTCAGAGACCAAAAAGACACTTGCAAGGTCTGGCAATTTGCGCAATCAAGAGAGCCCCTATACACCAGAGTAAAGCACGTCAAGTAGCGATGCTGGAAGCTGCTTTGGGGATGTGAGAGGAAGGGGATGGGGAGGGGGTGGGGGAGTCGATTTATACATACCGATACCACGGGAAGCCACATCGGTGGCCACCATGATGGGGCTCTTTCCTGTCTTGAACTGGTCCAAGACCCAGTCACGCTCGTTCTGCTGCTTGTCACCGTGAATGGACAGCGCAGGCCAGCCATCTTGACGGAGGAATCGGGTAATCTCGTCGGCAACACGCTTGGTTCCGGTGAAAATAAGGATCTTGTTGTTCTTGTCGTCCATGATCTTCTCCATGTGCCTGATCATCTTGTCACGCTTCTCTGACTCGTTGCAAACCTCGACGATCTGGGTGATGCGGTGGTTGGCAGCAAGGTCCATGGAGCCAATGTTGACCTGGATGAAGTCGTGTAGGAAATCCTTGGCAAGGTTGCGGACCTCCTTGGGCCACGTAGCGGACCACATGAGAGTCTGACGGTCTGGGCGGATCTGACCAATAATCTTGCGAATTTGAGGCTCGAAACCCATGTCCAACATGCGGTCTGCTTCGTCGAGCACGAGGTAGGTGACACGGCGGAGGTTTGTCTTGCCAGCTTCCAGCATATCGATGAGACGACCGGGGGTAGCAATGCAGACCTCTACACCTCGGGACAGATCACGGATCTGAGGGCCCTTGGGAACACCACCGTATACACAAGTGTTGCGAATGCGAGAAGACTTGCCGAACTTGGTAATCTCCTGCTGAATCTGGACGGCCAGTTCTCGGGTAGGGGCGAGGACGAGCACGATGGGGCCGTCGCCTGGTGCCAAGAGAGGTTGGGCATTGATGTGGACGATGGAAGGAAGACAATAAGTAAGTGTCTTTCCGGAGCCCGTCTCAGCGATACCGACAACATCGCGTCCCGAAAGAGCCATTGGCCAGCCTTGCGACTGGATAGCGGTAGGAGCAGGGAAGCCTTGAGCCTTGACCTCGTCCATGACATAACGAGGGAATCCCGCCTCGTCGAAAGTCTCGACGGGTCTAGGAACCTCTGTACCGAAGATCGCGATGGAGTGATCGCGTCGGAACTTCTCAACCTCGGCATCGGACCTGGTGGAAACGTCGGGGTGCTCTTTGTAGAATGACTTCTCGAATTTGGGCAAGGTGCTGGGGTCTTTGTCGATCAGTTAGTATGACAATGTGAAAACAGAGCGAAAAGGTACTTCAGAATCAAACTCACCCCAATTTTGCTTCTGCAATCCAGCTCCAAGGTTAGACATGCGGTCACCACCGCCTCCGCCGTAGCCGCCGCCACCACCACCATAGCCACCGCTGTGAACAAGTCAGTGTCTCGTTTATTAAGATGTGTTTACACACAGTGATATCGTTGACGATGATGTCCGCTGTAGCAAAGTGATGCGGCGAAGAGATAGTTCATCGATGAAGGCTGGAGACAATGGAAACTTACCCTCCGTAGCCACCACCACCACCGCCGCCGCCGCCGTAGCTGCCGCCACCACGGTCGCTACGATCGTAGCCGTTGGAGTAACCGCCGCCGCCGCCGCCGCGGGAGCCGTAACCTCCACCGTAAGACATCGTGCTGTTGGTGGTTGTTGTGGTTGACTTCGTCTCGGTCAAGGTTCTGGGGTTCGCCGGATTAGGGTTTGTCTGCAGGTTGGTAATCAATCAATACTGTTGCACAAAAGATCTCTGTGATAAGATAGCACAGAGAGTGAAAGCCAGATGGAGATTATCTGGTCTTGGTGATGAAAAAGAGGTGGTGTGAAGAGGGAGAGATGGTTGAGGGAGAGGAAGATGTCCAGACGAAGATTTGCAGCGTTAAAAAAATTTGGGTTTTTGCCTGATAACGGACGGCAAGAAAAACCCATCGCCCAGACAAGGGAAGGGGTCCTGGGGCGGTCTGGGCGGTCTGGCTGAAGTGGGTCGCGCTGGTTTAGGTTTAGGTAAGCAGGCAAAACGGAGTCAGTTGCGGGTGGAGGAGCTGAGAAGCCGGCCGAGCCCCAGGCAGCTGCCGCCATAGTAACCGCCTGCGCAAACAGCCTAGCTTGGTCGCACTGGTGAATCTGCCTTAAGGGTCTGCCTGGCTCCTCCCCATTCGTCACGTCCTGTGGCAAAGGTGCTGCGTAGACAATCATACTCATTATAAAGCAGTCAAGGACAATAATCTACTCGTTTGACAAAATACATATACTGCGAGGCATCATGTGAAGACCCTGAATTATACATTCCAGCCAGCCCTTTGCGTAACCGAAGCCGACCTTGCTCGTTTCATCGTAACATTTTCCTCACTTCATTGCCAGCTCCCATCTTCGGTATCCAAAGGACATGTCTCATTCAAATATAGCCATGTACCACTGTCTCGAGCGGCCTCTCATTTCTACCCTCTCCCTGCACGCCTATGGCTAGGAAGGCGACTCCTTGCGTCCCGATTAACTGAACCAATCTTGTTCGCAGCCCTCGATTCTCGTGCACATTTTAGTCATGCAAGCCTGACCTAGTACGGAGGGTTCGGGCCGATCGAGTATTCGCCCTTGTAGTCGGATGGTGGAGGTCCAACAGCTGAGCCCGGGCCCCTGCGGTCATCACCAAAGTGCTTCTTGCGCAAGGCGGCCAGCCTCTTCTTCTTGGTCACGGTGTTGATGTAGGTGCCGATGATGAACGAGACCAGGTTGAAGAAGGGCACCCAGGTGTTCTCGGGCAGGAACTTCTGCGCAAAGGCCAAGCAAATGGGCGATGTGATCCAGCTGACACGCATGACCTTCCAGAAACCGACCCTGACCGTGGCCCGCACCTGGTGGTACGTCCTGGCGCCAGCAATGATGGCCATGGCGCTCAGGTAAACAGCGTTTTGGATAGGCGCAATCTTAGAACGTTGTCAGCCATCAACAACTCTACATGTACACTGAGGATGACGCATAGAAACACGTACGATCAGATTGCTGAAGAGAATCTGCAAGATCTTGGCTCGCAGGCTTGTGCGACCTTTGAAGACCTTCTGCAAGACCCAGATCAGCAGCGAGCCAAGCGGCGCACTGACAAGGGCGCCGTATGCGGCCATCTTCGGCACACGCGACGTGAAGTAGTGGCCATTCTTGTTACGGTCCTTTGCCAGCCATGAGGCAATCACCTCCTGAGCGCCGGCGAGTGTGCCGGCGGTCAGCATCTTGGTCCGCATTGGGTTCTCCTCAAGCTGCTTGATGTAGGCCTGCGCATTGGGTCCCATGTTAGCCGATGCATCTGCAACAGGTAGTTGTCGTGGCTTGTGTGTTCACAAGCGTCACTTCGTAGTAGGGCAGCGCGCGGCTCACGAGCCCGTAGTGGTGACGTACCATCAGATAGCCCTTGGTGCCCGCCATCTGCTTGCCACCGGTAAGGGCTGTCCCAACCGCCTCGGATATAGGGTGCTTGCCGGTTGTGCCGGGAATGGGACCATCCCTCCCGAGGAGCTCGGCCGCAGCAGAGACGGCGGGGCCGGCGACGCCCTCGGTCTGCTTGTACGTATCTCGCTCGAACTTGACTGACATGGTCGCGGTGGGTTATACTAAACCGTCACAGGACTGTGGAAGGACGAGACCTGGAGGGAGCACGGATGGTCAGCTGGTTGGAGTGCGATTTTGTGCAGATGGTTGCCAGCCGCGACGTTGGGGAGGAGGCTGGTCGTTGGACGATAAAGTGGGAACCGAGCTCATTGTTTACATGCATGTCTCCGCCTTCTCGCTAGACTGACCGGGGCAACGGGAGCTCCTCCAGCCCTTGAGGGTCTCAGTGCAGGAGAGGAGTCTGTTTTACTTACGAGCAAAGACGGTCTGCAGCAAGTCCTGATTCTTTATCAAATCAAGAGGTGAAGCAACGTCGTCTAGTCTTCGAGCCTGAGAGGGGGAGGCGGGAGATCAATTGGGAGAGACGGAATCGGGGAGGTTGGTCTTTTACCCCGTGTTCAGGTACAATTGGGGCTTCATGCATGGGTGCAGCTTGAGAACGCGCCAGGGATCGCCAACTGGTCTAGCCTTTCTGGTCCTGCTTGCATCAACAAACCTACTCGACGGATGAAGCTCTGTGCAGCCTGTTAGTGCGAGACATGGGTTTGTCTCACGTTACTGCTGTCTCATACGCACCTGCAAGTGTTCCACTATCAGACGCGCATCTCGCCAATTGATCCGGCTCAACTCTTGCCCGAGGTCATCGTTTTCCAACCTCGGGCCTTTAGAAGCTCATCACTTCTACCAGAATGAAATCTTGCCCATACTTTTTATAAGGGTCAGAGTGATTGTGGATCGATTAGCTTTCGAACATGCATTCCACCATTTGTTAGCATAGTCACTACGAGAGACTTGCGAAAGAGTATTCATCGCTGCAAATTCGGGACCCAGAATGGGATTTCTAAGGCGTATCTAATGACGTTCAAATGTGACCCGAAGCACCCGAACTGGTCTGTCAGGACCCGGCAGAAGCGGACTGGCTCTGAGCTTCATCGTCCAGCTTCGAATCGGTCACATCTCTCTGTTTTTCCGGCGCGCGGGCTGGGGACATAACGGCTGGACTGGTGGCCCTTTAGCTGTGTGTTCTCATGATGTGAGATTCTTGATCAAGGCATTGCTCTCTGTTCCACAACTCCTTGATGTGACATGCTCATGGAGTCTACACTCAGAGAGATCCTCAGGTCAGGTTTATCCACTGTCATAACACCGTTTTACTTGATGTTTAGACTCATGCTGTAGTTGAGTGAGGGGACAGCTGTCTGACTTTTTGATTGCCAATCTCTAAATACTACACATCTAGCTATCATAAAAGCTGTCCATAATCTGTTCGAGTTCACTTGAACAGGAGAATAGATCCGGAGAGCCATGACAGTTTTGTCCTAGCGGTACTAGGTTGACTGCGCACGCCCTCCTGGGAAGCCTGAAAGAAATTGCTGCAGAAACTCCAAGCGAGTGAGCTCGTCAGCTGGAAATAGGGCATTTCTAGCAGTGTCATCCCAAACATAGCAAATAGAGGCTCACAGGAGAACGAACACAGTAGAACAAGGATGATCTTGACGCATGCTTGATGACGCCTTCATGGTTTCCTGCAGAGCCGACCTGTCGCCGTCCTTTCAAAATATGGAGGGTCTTTCATTGGAAAGTCTGTAAAGATGACAGACATCGCCTGCCTGAGAGCAGGCTCTACAAAAGAGATCTACAAAAGACGGGGTCGATGCCTTGCGATCCGAGGTCAACAATTTATGAATGAAGCTCACTGTTGTACTCATTTCATAGACTGCATTCTATGGGTTCTGCTGGGCTAGAGAACCTAGTTGGATGCTCCTTTGATGGTAGGAAAGAGTTCAGAATTCTGGATCATTTCCAAGTGCCCTCTGAATGCGGCGTCTGACCTCCCAAGTTGTCGTTCACTCCAGTGACATGCCGCCATACCACCACGGCGACCCATCCCAAACATTCACTACACACACGCACTCGTTCCAAGGATTCGGCAAACATGGAGCACTCCCACCCCCCTCAGAAAGCTGTCCAGTCTATGGCAGCTGAACCACATCCCAATTACAATCCGTCACGTATGCGCAAACTCGGTCAAAACGCCGCTCGCTTAGCCCGCAAGATGGCTTCCACGCCTACTGGATCATCTAGCCCAGCGACAACCAACACGGCACCCACCGGCGAGACTCCAGACGACCACTTGCAGGCTGCTCTTCCTCCTGGTTGTGCACTCCCTCCTGGCTTACCCCCTCCGCCAGGCTTGTCCAAACCCCCTGAAGTGCCTCCTCCTGGACTGCATCCTCCGCCGGGTTTCACACCAGTTGTTCCTCGAGAAAAGGCGTTTGGTTCGCGGCGTTCGCCTCCATCTCGTCGTCCTGGCGGAACACACCTGGAAAACTGCCATTCACTCAGCAAGACGCGCGTGGTGAGTTGGAACTCATGCATCCTCGTCAGCACAACCCTCTTTAGACCCATCAGTCGCTAACAAAACACCAGTATGATAACACTTTGCGATGCGACAAGTGCGGTGGAGCTTCAGACTTTGGTTGGTTCTACCGCTGCTGCCACGATACGGAGACTCGCCTGTACGAGTCCATTCGGGATGGAAGTACTGTAAGCACTGGACAAAAGTTTCCTCGCCGCATTTAGTACAACCGCTAACTGTTCAACAGGAGCATTTCGACGAGATCGGAGAGATGTTCAGCCACCAACTCAAGCGGCCAGACAGAGGACCCGCTGCACGCTCAGACAAGCTGAGCCTGCTTCAAGAACTTCGCCCCGAGCAGATCGAGTCGCTTTCGGCGCCCCAGCTCGCCAAGCTCCTGCAGCAGCGGGAGCACGTCAACGAACAGGCAATCACTGACCGTTGGGGCTTCCTTGGCCTGGCTGCCTACGACAGGCCTTTCCTGAAGAGCGAAGTGCAGGAGTGCAAGCAGACCTTATGCCCTGCATGTGGTAGAGGCATGATGGGGGAAGAGGTGTCTTTCCTTGATCTGGATGGCGTCCTCAAGGGTGACATCCCACCCACTGCCGCTGTGGGCTTTGGCTTCCGCAAGCACGGCCGCCCAATCGCTGATGCCAATATCATGCGCACCATCGGCCTGCGCAAGGCCACCGAGAACAAGGACCAAGTTGCCCAGCCGGTTCAGAGCGAGGGAAACAAGGCTGAGGAGCATGTCGAGCCAGATGTCAAGGACGAGGACGAGACCAGCTTGGCCACGTTTACTGATGCACCATTGACTCCTTCCAACACTTTTCTCAACATGGCCGACAGCAGTGAGGATCTTCTGGAGCTCTACACTGATGGATCTTCCGTGGAGGTTTCTCAGGACAATACGACGGCGCAGGATGCGGCTCCTGGAGAGAAGCAGGTGGCATCACCATGTCCGCAAATGGCTGCCAGGGAGTGTGTAAGCTAGGGTTGTTTTCCCAAAGCATCGAGGCGGTTGAAACCTATCAGCCCCCTCCTCCTGCTCAAGGTTACGATTGGTACGGGGCGGCAGAGGAGAAGAATAGTCACAGGTGCTGCTCAGCTGATTGTGTGCCTTGGCTAGGTAACACAGAAGAGCTCGTGACAGGATTACTTGACTCGCTCGAGTTAGAGTTAAAGGTCTTTGCAGGAGCGTCGCTCTGAGTGGTAGCACGGACTGTTACGGAGTATTCACCCCCTGTGTGCGCTACATTTAATGATGGCATGATGAGCCTCTCTGAAGAGGAGTTGATAGAAAGGACAATGCCAAAATATTATGGCCGAGACCCTGGATATTGTCTGCAACTGTGATTAGCTGGAGCAAATCTGGGGTAGGCAGCCTAGGCTGCTAAAGCGGTGCAGCAGTATGGGACGTTGGTGTGTTAAAGGCTTACGCAGTATGGTCATCTTACAGTGATTGGTTGACTAAAAGGGCCCACATGACGTCTCAGTGACAGCCCCACCATCCTTATCACGCCCAGGGTGTCTCAGCAGCTTAAAGCAACGCCCATCCGTCACGGACAGCGACCCTGGAAGCGCGATTCCTTCTGCTTCCAAGCACGGGGGAGCTGTCTCCATATTTTGTGTCAGCAAACAGAACGGAGCAATGGTAAGTGAACTGCTCCAGCCAGCATGACAACAGGATTCCCATGAGCAGTTGCTAAACAATCAATCCGTCGATTAGGCTTCTGATAGGACTCCCCTTCTCGCTGACCCACGCCGATCGGTAGACTCAGCGCAGTCCGACCGCCGCGCCGAGGAAGAAGACAGCCTGGTCCGTGGCTCCTCACCAGACCGTCAGCCATGGGCATACCGCATCCGCGAGGTCGTCCTCTTCGTCTGGGCTTTGTTAGCCACCGCGATAATCATCGTCCTGGCAGTATGGTTCCAACACAACCAGCAGACCGGCCAGTTCTCGAAACCTCCCGGCAAGCGGAACTTGATATTCATGGTGTCGGATGGTATGGGACCCGCATCTCTGTCCCTGACGAGGTCTTATAGGCAGCTGGTGGAGGGCCTCGACTACGACGACACTCTGACGCTGGACAAGCACTTCTGGGGCACGAGTCGGACACGGTCGAGCAACAAACTGGTCACGGACTCGGCGGCAGGGGCAACAGCTTTTTCTTGTGGCAAGAAGAGCTACAATGGGGCCATCTCAATGCTGCCGGACTCCTCGCCTTGTGGTTCCGTTCTTGAGGCAGCGAAAAAGGATGGCTACCACACGGGACTAGTGGTTACAACCGATATTACTGTAAGTACGCTTGGATCGAGCTTGTGTCTTTTCTGCGTGTCGATTATGCCTGTGATTCTTTAGACTTGGCCGTCACTGCCAATTACGTCTTGTCCCTTGTTAATGGGATTGCGAATTGCTACTGACAAGTCACAGGACGCGACGCCTGCTTGTTTCGCCAGCCATGTCGACGTCAGAGAAAAAGAGAACGAGATTGCTCTGCAGGAAATCGGCGAGGGCGCACTCGGGAGAGTTGTGGACTTAATGCTCGGCGGAGGACGTTGCCACTTCCTTCCTAACTCGACCGACGGAAGTTGTCGACTAGACGATGTGGATGTGGCGGGCATAGCCCAGAAGAAGCATGGGTGGACATACTTCGACGACCGTGCAGGCTTTGACAGCCTCCAGGTCGGTGAGAATGCGTCTTTACCGGTCCTGGGCTTGTTCGCTAGCACCGATGTGCCCTTTGAAATTGACCGCAAGAACATGGCGGATATCTATCCAAGCCTGAGTGAGATGGCAACGACGGCCTTGAAGGCCCTTACAAAGGCCACTGAGAACAGCGACAAGGGCTTCTTCTTGATGATCGAGGGCAGTCGGATTGATCATGCGGCACACATAAATGACCCAGCTTCACATGTCAGGGAGGTGCTTGAGTACGACAAGACCTTCAAGATCGTCCTGGATTTTCTCGAGAATAGCAAGACCGAAGGTCTGCTTGTGGCTACCAGTGATCACGAAACTGGTGGCCTAGCAACAGCCTGGCGTAAGTACCAACTGACAAACGCTTCAAGCATCTATCTAACGTATTGCAGAATCACCAACCGCTGAATTGCCAGTGTATAACTGGTACCCAACCGTGCTGGCAAAGGCCAACGCATCTGCTCAGTACCTAGCCCACAAGCTGCACGAACACATCAACTCGATCAAATCGGAGCCCGCCGCACTCGAGAATTTGGAGGACTGGATCAATACCAAGCTCGTAATCCCAGGTCTTGGCATTGCTGATGCCCGCGACTTTGAGCTCAAGGAGCTGGCATCTGATCCAGAGCACGCGATTTTCACCTTTTCGAGAATGATCAGCCAGCGTGCAAGAATCGGATGGTCGACTCACGGTCATTCCGCCGTCGACGTGAATATTTACAGCTCCGGCGGGCGTTTAGCAGAGGATCTTCACGGCAACGTTGAGAATACGCAAGTGGGTCAGTTCCTGAGGAACTATCTCGATGTCGACACCGACAAGATCACAGAACAGCTGAGGGAGAAGATGGAGTGGGGCCAGTCCCTGGCAGTCTCAACGGACGATGAGATGGTCCGCATGGGGTATGAGGCCGAGAAGCCGCAGATGGAGTGGATTGATTAAATGCGGTGGGAACTGTATCTTTTTTGGATCATCCGGGTTTCTTTTCTATCTCTTATGCATAAACGCATTGAGGAGCCAGCATGCGTGGGGTACACATTCTCAGGTTTATTGCATAGTGCCGGACGACGGAAGATGCCCGTCTGTATTCATTTCGAATCGTCATCTTTGGTTGAGCACCAATAATCAGATACCCCTTATTTTCTGAGTCAACGGGTTGTGCCCCAAACTTTGTGTAACACCCGCACATGGTCATCAGGGTCTGGGGAGATGAGGCTCAAAGCAGTTCCACTTGGTGACACAAAGACGGAGCGCTGGAACATCCCGTGGTACTTCACCACAGCTTGCAGGACCTGTCCGGTATTGGTGATGAGTTTGTTCTAATACTCTCCTACCTTCTCAACCCTCCTTCTCCAGCTGTCGCGGGTGTAGCAAGAAACCGTCACCCCCCCCCCCCAAGCCTTGAGCATGCCAATAGTTTGTCTCTTGAAGTTTGCCGTCTGAAGTCTTCTCGCTTGACTTGTCGCCACCTGGCTCCGGTACCATGAGCATCTGCTGACATGGCCCACCCACCTATGATTGCTTATAGCATATCTAGCCTCCCTTTCCCCCACCGCTGGAAAACCGAGTCTCTCCTCTCAGAAGGTCGTCTCATCATAGGAGATGTTGCGGTGTCTCCCGAGCATGCTTGCTATCTATCCTGAGACACCTCAGCATGCCGCTGTTTCTCGGCCTTCTAATAGTTGCAAATTGAACAACAAACACTTGAACAGAATCTGTTGACAGGCGGAAAGTTGCTACAATGATGGTTTGAGGATTGTGGAAACACTCTGGAAACTGCCCCATACGGTGGGTTCTTCTCGGGAATCCGCCCAATACCAGTCTCCCAACTGGTCATGAAAACCAGAAGCTGCGCGAAATGGTCTAATGAGGAGGCTCTTGTCATGTTTGGAGTTGTTATATGGTGTCGCCTCCTGTGAAGAACTCAGCTATCTTGCTGCAACGTGTGTCAACCTTGAAGAACACCAAATATCGAAGCGGCCTAAGCCCCTGCTACCGATCATATCTTGCATAGCTTTGGGACCCGGAATAACACGCTCTCACTGAAATTCTACTGGCCGGATTCGAAGAGAGGACTCTCGCTATCAAGCGGGGGGCCTGCGTCAATCTCTAACAAGGCCAGTGATACTTCACGGCCGACCAAGCGAGCCTAACCACTCCAGCAAATCCAGCAACCGAAAGTCCCCTCCCGATGTGCATCTACGTCCAGATCATCCCCGTCTGTGGCCACCCACCACCGACGCTCCTCTCCTACGCCTCCTGCAACAACGTCCTTGCGCAGCTGATGCGCATCACCGAGCCCGAGGCGTGGGAGCCGGAGAACATAGACAAGGTACCCTTCGATATGGCAGACGACTGCGACCCGGGCCCGGACAATATCTACATCTTGTACTCGGACGACTACTGCGGGTGGGAGTGCCGGAACAACGCGTACCAGGTAGCTGCGGGGCTCAGGTACTTTGGTGAGGAGGCCGGGGGTTTTCTGCCTGCTTACATCCCTGGGGATGAGAGAGGCCAGATTGTGGGCCGCGGGTTTGGTAGTGATGGCAGGCCGATGGTGATGGGGATGCCGGACGCGAAGTATGGGGCTGGCAATGAGAGGTTGGGCATCGGCTGGCGCAATGTGTGAACAGCAAATGCGAGGAGAGCCCGGCGACTTTGTGCGAATATCTTGTACTGAAAATCCACACCGCATGGATACAGCTATCACAGATTCAAGTCGGTTTCACGGGATCTTGTCTTGCCCTGTCTTTTCTCTTGCGAGCGCATTCTAGTCTTGTATACCCACACCGCAGGCCGACCTTTGATGCAAGGAATCTGAATAAATTCGTCACTTTAATCTTTCAAAACCATCACGGAGCTTTTCGAGACTCACCATACTAAACTCTGAGAAACAGTGTGGTATTATCTTAATCGGACAAATCTGACATGTCGTCCTCTGATGGGTTTCTCCAGTAGGCCAGATCAAAGGCACCGTTGAGTCCTACTGCCATAAGTGCGGCGAGCTGTTCTTGATGCCGTTCTGAAATCTCGGCCTCGCCGTATTGGTTCATGACATACAATCGGAAACCCTTATGCGTACCACTCATCGTGAGCGCCTCGATGAAAGCCTTTATGCCGGCGAATGTAAAGATGGATGATCCGTTTATGGATACTTGGGTCAGACGCTCCATTCGTGCAAGTGGCTCAAAGAGGGCATCCGTTAGATATTCGCCGTCAAAGCTGAGCTCTTCAAGATGAGGAAGCGAATTCTGGATAAGCACGAGATCTTCCATAGTTAGTTGAACCTGGTCAATGCCTCCAACCTTCTGCATTATGTCGAGGTCTTTAAGTCTTGTGCATGCGCAGATAGAATCAATGAACTTGTCGTGCCGCGCCTTGTTTGGATCGACAATTTCTGCGTTCGATCGTAGAGACAGGCTCTCAAGAGCGGTCTGGTTGCCCAAAGCGGTATAAAACGCTTCCTCATCGTCAATCAAGCTCAGTCCCAAATCGCTGAGACGAAGGTCAGGTGACACCAGGATATCGGAAAGAAGCTTGCTCGCACCCGCGAGATTCGAAATGACAAGTCGCCTCAAGGATTTGCACTCCTTCAACCAAGCAGCAACCTTGGGGAGAGGATCCTCGCCACTGACAGCCCAAGTACTTGGCAGCGAAGGCGTGCTAGCTTCAATGCTAAGGCCTTCCAGGTACTGGCATCGGCTCAAAGTATCGAGAGCCGCCAGACCGGTGTTTTGGAGACTCGAGAGATCGAGCAATCGAAGTGAGCGTGAGTGTTGCATGAGTCCATCTAGAGCATCATATCCGATCTCGTTGGAGCTGTGAACCTTGAAACTCTCAAGCGAGTTCTCCCTGAGTCCTCGGAAAAATTCAGACATGTTTTTGTCCACCGTAGGTCCTTTTATATTGAAACAGGTCAGATCCTTGAAGAAAGGACAGTTGCGATGGATCGAATCAGCGACCTCTGCTGTCAAGACAGAGCCGTCTCGGATGGAAAGCGTGGTCAAAGTCGACAACCTTGAAACCCAGACGGAAAGTAGAGAAGTCGGCAGATTTGCACCCTCAAGGCTGACCAGCTGTACGGATTTGTTTTGTTTCTCGGCGGCCTCCTCTGCAAACTGGGTGATCTTGTTACCGACTTGCTCGATGATCTTCTGCCACTCAAGGACTGGTCTGCCTTGACGTGTTTTGGTAGATCCACTGATGATCTCGAACGTCTTCATGGGGCCTTTGAAGAAAAGGGTCCTCCATTTCCTGTCTCGGGCGATGCCCACCAGGAGCTGTTCGAGGTCACTCAGTCCCAGCGACCTAATCCAGAGGCAGTACGGGTAAGCAGTCACGCCAAGACTGGACAAGATAATTGAGCGCCACATGCCCGCCCATCTGCCGGTATCTGTTGTGCCTGCGTCATCTGAGGCCACACTTGAGGAGTCGTGTATGCTGCGTGCTATGTCAGTACTGGGCCTGCTCGAGCACGTACAATAGAGATAGAGACAGGGGTGGGCCTCACCTATACAAGAGAGGCAGGGCAAGACTGGCCCAGCTTCGATTTATGAGAGCGCATCGGTAGAGGCTTCTGAAGTCTTGCTGTAGCTTCAAGTCCTGACATACGAGCCACCAGATCTCTTGTGGGACTTCGCGGGCCATTCTGGATGTGAGTGTTTGGTGGTACAGTACCGCACGCATCCGGGGGTCCACAGGGGAGTACGGGAGTATTGTAACGTGAGGTGCACGCGTATTCACGCCTGGCACTTTCGTTCAAAACACCTCAGGGGATCATTCATGGGGGCGCTATTTTCGACCTGATTTCGGAATTGATGAAATGTGCTCACTAATCGAAGCAAAACGCGTCAAGATACACATTAGATGCGACAATAGCAGAGCGAAAGACTAGAGTTGAGGTGGAATGCTGACTCCAAATGCACGCTCTGCCAATCGGCGAGTATTGATGTCACTGGGCAGGGGGACTGGGAACCCGGGTCATAGCTGAGCTTCAGCAGTTATGCAGCCACAGCTACAGCTCGCAGGGATCCTAAATGCTGGCACAATTTGACCGCTGGACTAGACAAACACTTATTTAAAGATAGCAGGCACCCCTTGCGATCACCTATAATATTCGTAGGATAATTGCCCAAAGATGCCAAAGAAGAAATGCCTAGACGTAGTCGGATCTTCTCTGATACTGAAGTACCTGACCTGCACGGAGCCTGGGGACCCCTGCAGCCTATAAAGGGCTCCTAGGGCGTCGGCGCGTCAGCGCGTCGAGAACCACTATAAACCGACCACCATTCAAGACATCAATGGCTATGGTTTGTGAGATAGCTCCCAGAATATCATAGAAAGTGCCCAGGTGCTCGCCGGCATCGAACACGCCTGAGGATCCTCTCAATCCAGAGCTCTTGATGAGACTTCGACGAATTGAGGCTCGAAAAGATCAGTGGCCCCGACCTACAAATCTTGGCAGGCGCGAAGTCCACGGGCTCAGTCCTTCCAGCTTCGTGGGGACGACTGTAGACAATAACGACGGCCGACATCGTCGTTGCCATCGTCATCGACACTCTCATTTGTCTCAGCGTCAACACCCCTAGACTTCAGAGCAAGCACGAAAGGCGATGCTTGCTGGTTGAGAGGCGTCGTCGTGTGTCGGCGATACTTCTCTGGCGACCGAACCCACAGGCTGCACACCCGAGTTGGCATGGCTCTCGTCACCTTCACTCTGAGCGAGGACGGCGTGGGCGCCTTCAATGACGCCCTGGTCTGCATTCATAAGTTCAGTGACGATGTGTCGCTTGAGGTCAAGAAGGACAAGGTGTGCCCCGCTCTCTCTCCAGCACTCTCTCGAGGACCGTACACACTCTTGTAGTGTCGCCAGCCTGCTGACACAGGACCTCGATCCGAATAGCTGATTCTCACTGCACTGAATCTCACCAAATCTGCCTACGTCTCCTTCACCTTCGCCGCCAACAGGTTCTTCTCACGCTTTCATTTCGAGGGAAACGCACAGTATCGCGAGAGATTTTTCTGCTCACTTTACATCAAGGCAGGTTTAGGACTACTCCGCCAAGCTACCAGATGTACTAAACATCATTTACAGGCACTGCTCTCGGTCTTTCGGACCCGCACAGGCGGTGATCCTACCAGAGATCGCGACAATGTGACAACTATCGAAAGATGTGATGTAGCTATCGATGATGGCCCCGGAAAGAAAAGCCGCTTCATCGCAAAGATCTTCTGCAGAAATGGTGCGTCCAGTCTCTAATTGGTCTTGACGTGGTCCATAATTCTGAAGACTTGAACAGGAATTACTGCGACTCATCGGCTGTCATTCGAAGCTAAGGCTCCTGTCCATGCAAAGTTCGACAAGAGTGAGGCTATCAACCACTGGACTATCAACTCGCGGACTTTGCGTTCGCTGATGGAGCATTTTGGGCCTGGCATCGACCTTCTCGACATCAACACCGACGGCGAGAACGTCGTCAACTTTACATGTTTCACGGAGAAGCAGGTCAGTGTGAACAACGAAGGTAAGCATGCCCTCGCTGGTGGCCTCGGATTTTCCCAGACCCTAACAAGGCTTCAGCTGTGTTGAAGAAACCACTCCATACCTCGATCGCGGTGGAAATGGACGAGTTCGACGATATCGAGGTGGCAGAGAAGCTTCACATCATCATCAGTTTCAGAGATTTCCGTGCTATTCTTCAGCATGCGAACTGGACAAGTAGTGACCTCAATGCCACATACTCAAGACCCGGCCGGCCAATGAAGATTTCGTACGGCCGCGATGGCATCCTCTGCGAGTTCGTGCTGATGACGGTGGACGAGAAGAGCACAGCAGTGCAAAAGAAGGGCCAAAGCAAAGCCGCCGCAAAGACTGCCAGACCAGCTCTGAATGCTGCACCCAACACGCCCACTACTGGTGCCAACAACGACTCGCGGCAACCAACCCCTGCTCCTCCGAGGGAGCAGCAAGACCAGCAAGCCAGAATGCCACCACCGGCACGGAGATCAACTGCCCCGCGCTCGTCGCAATTCGATATCCGAGCACCTCTAGTCCAACCACAGTCCACCCTCAAATCCGAATCGCTGTTCCTACCACAGCCAGACGACGATGAAATGTGGGCACCTGTCAATCCAGACGACGATGAAGAGGGCGAGAACCCTCGACTAGAGTGGGATGCCAGCAATGAGCCGGTAAGTGTACCAGGGATGTTCTGCGGGGCAATTGTTGACGATCTCATAGAATCCATCGACCATGCGGATCAGCGACCACTCCAGCAACACCCAAAGCAACCCGCCGATCGACTCTGGAGGGCCCTTGCCACCATTCGTGGAGCCGACGCAAAGGGTGTCCGACGTCCGCAAATTTGGCCTCTTTGGAGACTGGTGACGCAAATTTGGCTAGGTGTTGCTGTGCGATATGTACGCTTGCTTCAAGTGTGGGCGTCCTTGGTTATGTGGAAACTAACCCAAGCTAGGACACTTGCGTTCAAGGGAGGAAAGGACTCAAGGTTGGCTTGGAATCAGGATGCTTATCCAGCTAGTTGCGCAGCCCGCACCGATACCCAAGATTTCAGCCCCAGGTGGAATGTACTTTTTTGAAGCAATTGTGTTCCACCGTCCCTTGACATCTCCGTTGTCGACCTTTGGACCGCAGTTTCCATGCTCACCCCAGCCCCAGGCCAGCACGTCTCCGTCTTCCGTAATGACAACCGCGTGCTCACTGCCTATACTGATGCGGTCCAATTTGGGCAGTTGGGGCGGCGCTAATTGGCCGTGATCGTTCCGCCCCCAATTCACTAGGGAGCCGTCTTGCTTGAGCAAATAGACACCGCCCCAGCTGGCACCAACATCTTTCCAGCCCAGAGCAGTTGTCGGCGCCGCGGACTTGACACCTGCCTTGTCGGCACCTAGCACAAGTAATTCACCGCTCTCCGAAGGACCAAAGAGGCACGTGAACTCCCGACCGCAAACCGCCCGCGAGACTTTGAAGCCAACGCCCTCGACCTTGCGCGGCTCGTTAGCCACGCCCTCGACGGCAGTGCCCAGCTGGCCCTTGCGGCCGTTGCCCCACCCGTAGACGTCGCCGTTGCTGAGAACCGCCACCACGTGGCCCATGCAGGCGGCCAGGTCGACGACCTCGGTGTCCTGGGGCGGGAAGTCCCTGATGCGCGAGACGGAGGGCGTGCGCACGACGAACTGCCCCTGGCCCAGCTCGCCCTTCATGCCGGCGCCGAAGGACGAGACGGCCGTCCTCCTGCCGTGGCCGTCCTCCTGTACGATGACTGACGCCTCCCAGGTCGCGGCTATGAGCCTCACTGGCGCGGTCGTCCCGTCCTCGGTCTTCGGCAGGTCGACGCCGTGCGCCACATGCTGTCCGGCCTTGGCTGCTGGCTCCGTGGAGGAGGGCCCGCAGGCGCCGGTGGATGCGTCGCCGGCCCCATAGAGCTGGCCGCCCGAGGTGAGCAGGAGGGTGTGGTTGCCGCCCGCCGCGACTTGGACAACGGATGTGGTGGGCTCGTGGTCCGGGCTGAAGACGACTTGACGTGGTATAGAGACGTCTTGGTCGTGGCCGATGCCCAACTGGCCAGAGCCATTAGAACCCAAGGCGTAGACGATGGGTATCTTGTTGGACGCAGACATTGCGGCTCGAAAACTCACTGGGTGACCAAGTAAATGAGTGACATGAGCTGCCTGAGCTCTGATAGAAGGGGGTGAGCCTAGCGTAGCTAAGAGTGAGCTTACATAGTACAGCTTGAGAGCTTGGGCCTGGGCAAGGTAGGTCCCACTCGGGCGGGTCCCACCCAAAAACGGTCTAGCCCAAGCCACGGAGCTCGCTGAAGCTTTCCTCCGGCCCGTAAATTCTGATAAGAAAACTCGACTCGATCTTTCTCACCTTGAAAACTTTCACACCACGCGACCTTCGTCAACAACACACAGCAGCAGCTCAACACCTTCCTCGTGACGGGAAGTAACGAGCTGTCCACGAGAGCGCCAGAGCTGCTAGAATGTGATCTGTTTCTTGTGGGCTCTGTGCTACTCTCAGTTGTCGGTTGATCTGCAAAGATGGCGGCCTCATCGCAAGAGTCTCAGGTGCCTGAGGGAATGGAGGGCTTCACCGTCGGTATCATTGGCATGGGCGATATGGGCAAGATGTATGCCCGGCGACTGGCTGCCGCTGGCTGGAGGTAATCGCCCGCTCTGATTCATCTTTCTCTTGGTCTCACGTCAGAGACGATGGCAACCCCTTGTCGATCTGGTAAGTGACTTCTTCAGCAACTTCCTTCCACACTGCAACATATTCCCTCCCTCTCCAATGATGACTTGAGTGCATTTGGCTAGAGTATCGCCCGTTGACCATCTCGGTTGGCGGGCTTTCCATGATGAAAATTCTCAGCTACCTTTAAAACTTGTCTGAAGCACATACACACATCCCATGTCTGTTCATCTATGTTGGTCAGGAACACAGCTGACCTCGCTCAAGATATAGGCACTTGATAGCTTTTCCAGAACCGTTCATGGTCATGCTAACAGGTTCTGTATGAGGCAGAATCAAGGCGTGTGACAGAGCGGACAATTTCGAGGGCTTGCGAGAGGAGTTTGCCGACAATGTACGGTCTTGCATCACGTCCCACGTACCTCAGCATAACCTAGTAGAGGCAGCATGCTGAGACTCGGCTGTTTTAGAATAATGTACAAATCCTTCAAAACGGCCACCTTGTCTCCCGAACGAGTGACTACATCCTCTACAGTGTAGAAGCCGCCGTGCTCGGCAATGTCGTAAAAGAATATGGCCCTTGTGCGCTCACCTCAAACAGAACTACGGCATGAAGAAGTCTTGACTTACCAAATTGTGTCGCAGCGACGAAGTTAAACGCCATCGTAGGTGGCCAGACGTCCTGTAAGGCACCTGAGATTGAGGCATTTGAAGAGCATCTACCTCCCGATGTCGACATCGTCTCGTGCCATTCCCTACACGGTCCTAACGTCGATCCAAGGGGCCAACCTCTGGTCAGTCTGCTCGGCTACGTCACGTTGCGGGGACACACTCATTTGCTAACAAGCCGGTAGGTCCTCATCAAGCACCGCGCCTCTGACGAGGCCTTTGCCAGGGTCGAAGCAGTCCTTCGGTGCCTCAACTCCAAGCACGTCTACCTCTCCGCACGCGAACACGACCGCATCACCGCCGACACGCAGGCTGTGACGCACGTGGCTTTTCTTTCGATGGGCAAGGCGTGGCACGCAATGCAGCAGTTCCCGTGGGAGGGTGCGCGTTACGTGGGCGGGATCGAGAACGCAAAGATCAACCTGACGCTGCGCATCTACTCGCAGAACTGGCACGTGTACGCGGGGCTGGCGATCCTGAACCCGGAGGCGCGGAAGCAGATCACGCAGTATGCGCGCAGCACGACGGAGCTGTACAAGCTGATGCTGGAGGGCCAACACGACGAGCTGCGGCGGCGGGTGTACGCGGCCAAGGAGAAGGTGTTCGGCAAGGAGGACGGCACCAAGTGGCCGACGACGCCGCTGCTTCAGGACAACCTGCTCGACCGCTTCAGTCTGGGCAAGAAGCCCGAGGAGGGCAAGGCGCTGCCCAACAATCACCTCAGCCTCCTGGCCATGGTAGACTGCTGGAGCGCCCTGGGCATCGTGCCGTACGACCACATGATCTGCTCAACGCCGCTGTTCCGCCTGTGGCTTGGCGTCACCGAAAATCTGTTCCGCCACCCGGAGCGCCTGGACGATGCGCTGCGCATTGCGGTCGAGGACAACACCTTCAGGTCCGACGACCTCGAGTTCACATTTGCCGCGCGCGGTTGGGCCGAGTGCGTGTTCCTCGGCCACTTCGAGACCTGGATGGAGAGGTTTAAGGTGACGCAGCGCTTCTTCGAGCCTCGGTTCACAGAGGCGACCAAGATCGGGAATGCGATGGTCAAGGCCGTTCTTGAAACGACGCAATGAGCGTAGACGGCAAACGAGATTGATAAACAATGGGGCGGGACGGTCCCCCGCGGGTGCGGGTGCTGTGGGCGCCAAGGGCTTGCTTTGCATAGTGGAGATCAGACGATGTCTGAGGTGGTGGGTGGTTGCGCACGGCACTTGGATGCCATATACCTTCCATCGCAACAGTGCTCTGCAGAAGGACGACCCTACGAAGCACCATGCGTTTGACCCATTTCACATGCGCGAATGCACTTCCTGTTTCGGAAGTCCGAATACGGCATATAGTATTGCGATGCGAAGGCCCGGAAGGCTAGACCCAACAGGGAGGGCATGAGTTCCCCAGCGGTAGATCAAACAGTCCATGAGCTTATGTGCGATTGAGCCCATGTGTTTTGAAACGTGTAGCCGAAAGTTACTTGTCGCCACAGACTCAACGTCGACCTCTGGGATGAATTCGCCGATAGGTTGGAGTAGCATCGCCGACAGGTTGCAGTAGTATCGCGAATGACAGCGCTGCGCCAACGTCATCTGAGGTTTGTGTGTTTGAGGTCTTGCGTCTATGGGCGCCGGAGGCTCTGAGCACGACATTTCTTTCTTAAAGAGAGGTGTGCGCCTGCAGCTCGTGGCACCATGGGTGCCGTTTCCTCCTTCTGCTGTCGGTGAGTCGGGTAAGGCTGGCTGGTCAGCCTCATCTAGTCGTCACATAACTGCCTGACAGAACCTAATCCGGGGCCAAATTAATCATGTACGGCCTTGTGAGGGGCTTATGGGCTGCGAGCCTGGTGCATGTGACCCTGGCCCAGCAGGTGAGCCCACCAAGCCATCAACACCTGGATAGACTCCAAGGCTGACTTGACCATGCGTGAAGCTCTTCGCCAACGAACCAACATGTGCTGTAAGCAACCCCATCATAATTTTAAATGGTACATGCGTGGCCTGGCGGCTGACAGACATCTCTAGGAGGGCTGTTATGCGGATGCGGTCCGCCTCAGTCCCTGCAATTCGCAGGACCTCGCATGTCAATGTACAGTCCCCAATTTCGCTGGGATCGGTCTCGCCGGCGGACCATGTTTCCTCGCTCAGTGTAGCCTCGCCGACCTGTCCAACCTCTCTTCCGCGTTGACCGCAATGTGCGCGTCGGCAACAGCGTCGTCGACGTCGCGGGCACAAACGACCGTTGCAGCCACGACCACGGCGGCGGCGGTCGTGGCGTCGCCGTCGTCGGGGTCGTCGTCAGAGTCCGGCACATCATCGAAGCCCACGAGCACAGCACGCCGGGTCAACACGGCGACGGCGTCCGCGGAGGTGATAGCTGCGCTACCCACGGACACCGCCACCGCCGCGCAGGTCGTACCGGAAAACGGCATGGGGGGCAACAACCAGACGCAGGGCCAGACGCTGAACGCCGCCGCCATCACTGGGATCGTGGTGGGCGGAGGGGCGGTCGGGCTGGTCGGCGGGATCCTGCTGTACTTCTTCACCGTGGTGCGGAGGCGCAAGATGGACCAGTCGCATTGGGACGAGCTTGAGCGGGAGAAAGCAGCAATGCAACAGTCGCTCGAGGAGCTGAAAATGGCCGTGCAGCGTGCTGGGACCTTTGACAGCTTGGATGAGAAGGGCGAGAAGGGGGACAAGGATAGGAAGCGACCCAGGACGATCAATTTGACTAGCAGTAAGGGCCCCGGGGAGCTGGGTGTGCCGTCGAGGATATTCGAGCTGCCAGCGTCCCCCGCCCGGATTGAGAAGACTTTATGAACGGCAGCCTTTTGCGAAGAAAATTAAAAAAGAAAAAAACAAGTCACGAGACAGAGAAGCCCGTTAGTGTTCGTTTCTGTGCGTTGAGCAATAGCTCTCAGGTTCTGCCCACGCACTGGTGCTGGGACAAAGGACGAAGTTGGTCTATTGAGGAGGGTGTGTACGAGAGTGTGTACGAGAGAGTGTGTGTACAAGAGGGAGGAGGGGGGACGGAGGAGGTTGCCTTGGAGGACCAAGCGCGCTCTGATGGGAGGATGAGCGCGCTTTCCCTCCACCATTTCTCATCACAACCATAGTAGGGCATATTTCTTTTGGGCAGGCGTTGCAGGTGCCTCGGCTGGGTCTGGGGTAGCATTTTGTGCTTGTGTTCAATATAGATACCCATGATCTTGAGCCCCAGCTATGGGAAGACAAAAGATTTGATGAGAGAAGACAACTTCACCCTGGTATCGGTGAAATGTTGAGTTCACAAGACACATGGAAGTAGACCATGATACATTCACTAACTTGCAGGGTGCCTTAATCAGGCACAAAAAGATATAAGAAATTTTCTTCTATTGTTCCTCAGCTATTCATTGCTATCAATTCTAGTCTGCAACCCCCATCCGGTGATTGTTCTGTATTCCATCCCAAGCTAATGTCATTTTCTGCGTTATAACAAAGAGGATGCTTTCTCCACCCTGCAAATCCTGAACACTAAGAAGCGACAGTGCGGGTTGTGAGAAGCAATGAGAAGAAGAGTGTTGTCTTTGGTATCCTTGGAAATCGAGAGAAACGCCACCTGTCCTCATGCAAGATCTTTTCTTTTTCTTTTTCCTGTTGTCCCCGTCCCGTACGTCTAGCGCACAACCCCCTATGTACCTTCAAGGTCTAGTCTTCAGAATGGAAGAAATTCGTGGTGACTATAAATAAGAATCCCACGTGAAGAAAACATAGAAGAGGCGTTCGCGCGTTCAGTGCGAACAGAATGAATGGCGTAGTCCGTGAGTAAGATCAGAGTCTTGTGAGTGCTCGACCTCTCAAGCGAGAATTTTGCTCAGGTCCCGCCCGTTCGCGACCAACGCGTCACGGCATCCACCACAGATTCGCACCGTGCAGTGAGAGCAGCAGAACCGCGCGCTGTTGTCCTCGACCTTGCAAGTCATGCAGGCGATCGGGTGCTGCTCGTTCTTGCTGGAGACGAAGCGGGAATGGCTGGTGAAGCAATCGAGCTGGCTCGCCTTGACGGGTGGTGCAGGAATAACATCTCCCGGGAAGAAAAGCCTCGAGTACTCGGCAGCAGGGAAGTAATTGGCCTCACCGGGCGAGGCTGGCACGATGGGGCCGGATTCCTCGGCGTTGGGGGGAGCGAGCTGCTTGATTTCAGGTTGGGTCTGCGCCGGCTTGGGAGAGTTGACTGCCTTGATGGTTGAGGCGTCGCCGTCATCGCTGATGGAGATGGAAGGGACGGAGGCGGAGCTAGTTGACTTGACGTGACTCGGGGATAGAGAGGCTGCCATTTGCGCGACTGGGGCAGGCGCTGCTGGAGAGGTAGCTGCTGGAGAGGCAGCGGCTGGAGAGATGGAAGCCGGTGAGGCAGCGCCTGGTGAGGACCGACCTGGAGGTGCGGGAGACCGCGGCAGACCCAGACGGCCGGAAGCACTTCCGGGAGGTGGTGGGCCGCGGGATGAACTTCTTGGCGGGAGCGAGGGCAGTGGGCCCAACGGTGGAGGAGCAGCCGGGGCAGGGGCAGCATTGCTGCGAATGATATCCTCTGGGATAATGCTGAGGGGCCTACCCTCAGTTGGAGGCGTAACAGGTGACGCGGGCGACGTCGGGGATCTCATAGTTGGGACATGCGCATCCACAGGGGACTCATCATGATCGTATTCTGGTGTTGGTGGGCGTTGGATGTGTGGCGACAAGGCTGGGCCGGCCTCAGATGCTTTGTAGCCCTCCTCGACTTCCTGGGCGTACTGAGAGAAGCCATCTAGGTCTTCTTTAGGCTTTGTGTTAACCATAATCTCTGGTCGAGGGTTTCTGGGCAAAGACTTGTTGGAAGGTGATGGCCGGATGTTGCGGCCCGGGAAAGATTGAAAGCCCTTCAGGATGGGTGAGTCCAAAGCGGATCCAGCAAAAGGAGGCCGAGGCCTTGGAAGAGAAGAAATGTCCTGTTGCAAAATCCCAGCTTCTTGTGTTGAAGCTGCTGTCGAGCCGTGTGAAGAGGTGAGTTTGAGCTGGGGGACAGTCAAGGGCTTGTCTGATTTCAGAGATCTCCTGCGCCAAAGTTGTGGCTGTGAGGGTGATTGGTCAGCCATGGACGAGGAGGTGGTGGGTTTCTGCTCAGATGGCGCAGAGGGAAGGGCCTTGGAGCTTTTGGGAGTCATGGGCCTTTGAATTTCCTTTGTAGGTGGTGTAGGAGGGCGACTGTCTGTGTGCTTTTCTAGACCGGCACCGTGCTGAGGATGTGGGGCATTTGTTTTCATCTCCGAAGAAACTGGAGTTGGCAAGTATAAGGGCGACACTAGGTCCAGTTTCGTGCTTCCTCCTCCAAGAGTATCCTTGGGCAGAACCTTGGGGTTTGGAGGTGATGGTTCCGTGAAAGAATATCCCGTAGCTGTTGTGTCCTCTGAATGCCGAGTGGCCGAAGAGTCCTCTGTTCCGTAGGCTGAGAATATACTTGACAGGGACTCGACGGGAGACACATTGCCACCTTGGGCTGGTTGTGGATGCGGTGGGCTCTGAACATTCTTCCCGCCAGTCCCGTTACCCACAGGCTTCCTCCTTATAACAGCAGGTGGGCTATTCATCCTTGTCAAGCCTGGAAGTGGAGGTAGTGGCGACTCTAACAGCTTGGTCGCCATGGTTGACGATGTATTCGCGGCGGTGTCCTTGGGAGGCAGTGGTGGACGAGATGAGGCCAGGGAGTCCTTCCTAATGGGCAACACAACAGTAGCCTTGGTATTGTTGGCAGACGGTGGTGGTGGATCCGGAAGAGCCTTTGTGTAGCGCGAAGTAGCCCAAGGCTTGGAGGGCGCGAAGGACGAGGTCTCCATCATATATGTTGCGCAATGGCCCCTTTTCCTGCAAACGTTGAGAACCCAATTTAGGATCAGAAGGCTTTTCAGTGGCCGGAGCAAGTCGTGGCACAGGGTCGGGCTAATACGCAGCGTTATGCTTGTCAGGGCGCAGTTATTGCCCGTGATTCAAGCAGACGTAACAGAGAAAGAAGTAGGGCCAGGGGGGACCGGAACTGCCCAGTGGTGCACGGCAGGTCTCGACCAGCGAGCAAGCATGCGATCCCGGGAGTTACCAAGGTTTGTGCCGTTGTAGCCTTGGGGACGAGTGGACGACTGCAAGCAAGACCCGCCTGCTGGTGTTGCAAGTATATTTTTGGACGAGGGATGCCGCAGTCAGACACCCAGAGCCGGACCTGAGCTTGTTATTATGACGCCGGAGGGCTGGCGAGTTTTCCGAGAGCCCTTGGCGATCCCAGTCCCAGCTTTACCCTTTGTGATCTTCGCGAACCGCGAACACACTGCAGCGCGGTGCGCTGGCCGCTGGGTGGCCAACGGTACTCGAAAACTGAAGTCTGTGTGAGGAAATCGTCCCTGGATTTCTGAAACAACCGCTAGTTCCTGTGGAGCTAAGGAGCTTGGGGATCCTGGAACGACCCCTTGCAACAGGCCTTCATCTGTCCGGCGGCCAGTAATTCGCCGAGTTTATCGATAAAGGACTGCAATAGTGACAGCAGGCTGGATTGGCTGCCAAGGGTTGAGAGTTGGACATGGACAGAGGATCCTTTCACATGGACAGCGCGGATGTGCCGGGGATTATTGCAGATGCTGTGCCACAGGACATTGCGAGTTTGTGTCCCGGCCTCCGACTGGCATGATGGTCGAATCTCCAGGACAAGGTTGGTGTCACACGACGAGAAACGTGCCTGGTCCAGGAAGAAGGGGGGAGAAAAAGACAGCTTCTCAGCCACAACTGATCAACAGGGGCCTGTCAGAAAATAGACAGCTCCCTCCCTGAGGCGTCAACAGTGCTGACCAACCATATACCCTCCGCGCTGCCCACCACCACAGAGCGTCTGTCAAAAAGATGCTCGCTGTCGGTCTGCGTTGGACACCATCGGTGGCGCTGTGGCCTGTGGCCTGTAGCATGCCCAGCTCATGTGCGTTCCATGTCGTCGGTCCGGGAACATCCCTCGAGAAGCGAGCTCTTCAGAAGTACCAGGTTCCTGAGGCAGCCCGCAGCAGGATCTTGGTCGGCCTTGTCCTCGGACTGTTTTGATTGCTGCGGTCCTGCGGGCGCATATTGGATACCAAGTGTGCCCATCACCGTAGCAAGTGCAATGACATTGCCATGACGGATGTGTGATCCGAGCGAGTGCTCAGAGTTCAGGTAAATAAATCAGCTTGACGAGCTTGCCATGAAGCGGCATAAAATTGCAGACCCGTTCGTTCCCCTCTTTCCATCTCCGAAGACAAACCTTTTCATGTTTGTGCTGACGAGAAGGGCCAAGATTCAAGGATGGTTCGTCTGGTGTCGTCGGTTGGATGCAGCAAGGTGGGATGGCAGCAGGAATGCAGGGGGCTTCAGGAACAGAGAGGTGCAGACAGAGAGATTTGAGATGAATGCCAACCGCTTCATTGGCCGTGCGGAGACTAAGTATGGGGGGAGGCCGGCGATTGATTGCGCACTTGCGAATCTTGGATCCTCCCGAGCTTCTTGGGGGCGCCGTTGCAATGTGATGTGTACCTGCGTCCAACCGAAGATATAAATACTTGGCTGTAATATCGCGCGATGCCATCTTGACGAGGGACCGGTAGGCTGCAGCAGATATATGATTATGATGTGTGACTAAAGGCCACCTGGGCACACGCAGCCTCGTGTGGGCTGAGTGGCGTGATTGACATGTTGACGCGAGACCCCGCGGCCGTCGTCGTGGCAGGTCAGCACGGGACAGAGTACTGTACTGTATCCATGTATCTCAACAGCCAGAGGAGCAGAGGAATGGATGCCCAGCCCATCCTCATGGTGTGCAACCATCTGTCCCCTCGGCCACAAAATGTTTGTCCAAGGTCCATCTCATGTACGGGTATCAAGCCAGGAACCCGTGAGGCCCCATGGGAATCAGCCGAAGCATGACATGACTGTGACTGGTTTGTGTCATTAGTCTCTGGTCACCCAAGACCGGAACTCTACTGCCCATCTCAACTGGTATCAAACCTGCCGGGTGGTACACCTCCTGACATCCCCACGTTCGTTACTGTTGTTTACCGTTAGTAAACTCGTCGGAAACAGTATCAGGGTTCCGACGAACAAGGAGGATGTAGGCACGGGAGAGGTGCCGGCAATCTGATGATGAGCCGGTCGACGATCCCGGCCGGAGACACTGGCGTCCCCGCAATCGGCCGGCTGCGGCAAGTTCCCGCCGATAAGTCCGGATGACGAAATCACTGGACTCGATCTCAGTGCTGAGATCGCGACCTCTCAGCCTTTCTGGCCATCTTCTTGGGCTTACAACTTCGAACTGTATGCAACATGGCCGTAGATAAGGGACGGCAAAATCACGAGGCAACAGAAGCGAGTCCGCTCCTGCGCCCGGATCCTCCGAATGAAGCCAACGGCGCCCATGCCGGAGCAGGAGGCAACGGTACCATTGCCGACTCGTTGACACAAAGCTCCTCGAACACGGCCGTTGCGGCGAATGCACGAGGCCGTGAGCCCATTCCGGCCGAGAATGGTGGCGACGAGGTCACACGGGAGGGCATCCCCGAGATGGCCAAGAGGCTGCACATCTTGTTGCCTGCAATAGGCATTGGCATCTTCTTGTGTGCCCTCGACCAGCTTCTCGCCGTGGCGACTGTAAGCGATAGCCCTCGCAGGTGTCAAGGCCTCTTCCATATACTCCAGGGGCAGGTTGGGGTTGTTAAGGGGTGACATAGAGATAGTCTCAAATCCTCCGCTTCCTCGGTTCTTCCTCTTCGAATCCATCAGCAAATAGACTGACGGAGACATATTGCAGTATGCCAAGATTGGGAGCGACCTGAAGGCCCTCAACTCTACCAGCTGGATTGCCACAGCGTGAGTCCTCAGCTTAAGCCGTGTCTCTAACTTCAAGTTGCATTGCACTGACCGCATACGAAGATACTTCCTCACCCTCACGAGCTGCCAGCCTCTGTACGGCAAGCTCTCTGATATCTTCGGTAGGAAAGAGTGTCTACTGTTCGCCTATGTCGTGTTTGGCCTGGGCTGCCTGGGCTGCGGCCTGGCGCAGGACATCACCCAGCTGATCATCTCCCGGGCCGTGGCTGGCATCGGCGGCGGCGGCATGAACGCCGTCGTCTCCATCCTGCTGACTGACATCGTGCCCTTGCGAGAGCGCGGCGTCTGGCAGGGGTATATGAACATCATATTCGGTGCAGGGACAGCTACGGGAGCGCCCTTGGGCGGCCTGCTCGCTGACTCGTTGGGGTGGCGGTGGTGAGTGATGTTCTTGTTAATCCTCTAAATGAAATCGGTGTGAATGGAGCTGGGGAGACAAGAGTGGCTGGGTAGCAGAGAGTTGTGATGCCATGGAGACGAACTGACATGATAGTCACAGGTCTTTCATCGGGCAGGTGCCCGTCGTCATGCTCGCTTTCATTACCGTCTACCTTGTGCTCCACCTCCCCAAGAGAGACGACTCTCACTGGAGGGAGAAGCTCGCCCGGGTCGACTTCCTCGGCGCCTTCTTCCTCGTCTCGGCTGTGCTCTGCCTCCTGCTCGGCCTCGACAACGGCAGCAATGAGGGCTGGGGCAAGACGCAGACCATCGTACCGCTCGCTGTCTCCCCGGCCTTGTTCGCCATCTTCATTTTTGTTGAAGTTCGGGTGGCGTCACACCCTTTTGCTCCGGGGCACATTATCTTCGAGCGGTCCCTTTTCGCGGCATATTTGTGCAACTTTTTCGGCGTGCTTGGACAGATGCCCGTCTTGTTTTTCTTGCCTCTGTTGTACCAAGCAGTGGATGGCGTTTCAACTGTCCACGCCGGGCTGCTACTGATGCCGGCTTCCATATTCGGTGTCAGCGCGTCGTTGGGCGCTGGATTTGTAATGCGGCGGACCGGCCGCTTTTTCTGGATTAATGCCGCCGGCTGGGGCTTGCTTTTGTTCAGCATCGTGCCCATGGTCTTGTTCTCCGGGCCCTGGTTCAAGTCTGAAGTTGGTACATCGATTGCGCTGGCGATGCAAGCCCTGGGTGCTGGAACAGGTACCTGCTCCCCGAGTCCATTTCTGTCCTCTCTCTTTCCCTGCCGCTGTGGCCAATCTAGACTCTTCCTATCCGTACGAACAGACTTGACTAAATGTATCTCGCCTGACAGGTATCACTACCACCTTAGTAGCACTCATCTCCAACGCCGCCAAGGAAGACGCAGCAGTTGTCATCGCCTGCAGCTATCTCTTCCGCTCTCTCGGGTCGGCCATTGGCGTCAGCGTCGCCTCCGCGATCTTGCAGCAGGTCCTTCGATCCCAGCTTGCAGAGCAGCTCGGCAGCGGCCAGGACGCGTGGGAGATAGAGGAGCGCGTCCGTGAGAGCCTGGACTATATTGCGCAGCTGCCGCCGGGTACGGCTGTCATTGTGCGTCGTTGTTACCAAATAGCCACCATGAGTGTTTTTGGATTCCAGGCCGTACCAACGGCCCTGTCTTTTATTTCTGCCTTCTTTATCAAGGAGAAGAAGCTGGGTTAGTAGAGAGCTTACTGGGTTGTAATTAGACAGCTACACGCACAAGGACTTCTTTAGACATTTTGGGAAGATTAATTTTCTACATAAGTTTCTGTTCGAAGCAACCAATCGAGCTACCACATGAATAGACGGTCAAACGACATTATCAATATAGGCTACTGTATTAGCTTTCCAGCTCAAAGCAGTCAAGGTTGTAGACTGCTCCCGTCCCATCTTTCATGCGCCTTCACCTCCCGTCCAAACTACAAGAACCAAAAAGCCCCTGACGATATATGCGTTGAAATTGGCTCTAGGGCGGCGCATTCACGCTTGCCAAAGGGGCTGTCAACATAAGACGTCACTATCACTAATTAGTATATATTTGCGACTGTCGCGTCAGTATCATAACGACCGACCTTTCTACCCCGGCCCCGTCCTTCAGACTCTTTCCCCCTGCCCGGGCCGTAACATCTCGGAATGGAGACCATCGGGTCAGGCATTGCCGTCCGGAGGCATTTTGTTCTCCCGTGTTCTCCCGTGTACAATGGCCGTTCCATGATCCGAATAAGTGTGAAGACGTGGACGGCATTGCTATGATCTGCTTCGTTCTCTCAGGTCCGTCTGGCAACTTATCTTGTGGAAATACTTGGTTGATCTTGGGGCGCGAATGTCTGGATGACGAGGAGCTACTAGATCAATCATTCTTGATTCCGGCCATAGATTAGCAAATTTGCGCCACTGAGTCACGGACACAATGTCCTGGCGCAATTTCAGCTGCTGCTTTCCAGCGATTGACATATGTGTTGATTGTACTGGGAGACCAAGTTAGTGAGATACTGTTCTCCAGAATGGAGTCCGCGATGAAGAAGCCGTGGCATCCTTTGGCGAAGCTGAAGGTCACGTTGTGCATATTGTCGACTAGTTGAGCAGACACTCCAGGGGCAGCGCGTGTCGGCAGGATACGTCCACTACCTAGACATGAAGTACACCCATAGCATCCGCCGGGCGGACTCCACAAGTCCGAGGCCTTGGTGTGGTCAAGAGGCCAGTGTGGGAACAAGACTGGCACATATTCATCAAGCTGCATTCCACATGGCTGTCATTTTGGTATCTACAACATCCCCTGGGGCCGAAGGCTTGCAACGTGCAGACGTGTTCCATCCCGCCAGTGCTGCAGTCTCCCCGAACGACGTGTGCCTGTCTTGTCGTCGCATGCGGCTTTCTTCGTTATCTAATCCGTATTCTTCGTGATGACCTTCATAAACTGTGTGCTAGCGGGGGGAGGATATCTGGGATATCAAAAAGGCTGGAAAAGGACTCGAACGAGGAACCAGCAAAAGTAAGTTGCGTGTGCAAGAAAACGTGTGTGTGTGTGTGTGTGTGTGTGTGTTGGTGCGTGGGCGTGTTTGTGTGAAACGACATAACGCAAGGCGCCCCGAAGAATTGAAAAAAGCCCTCCGTCAGCAGCCGTTTCCCTTTCTATGATCTTCTTTTTGAGGTTTCCAACCAAGCAATGTGGGCAAAAAACGATGCCATGCAGCCCCAACTCTCATATCGTCAGGTATCCGGATCTATCGTGACCACGCCGTGGTGGGATCAAAGACCGTCTGAGCCATAACTCAGGCTCCTAAACCTCGCCCGTGCCGGGTGAGGGCTTTTCCCGTCGCCATTGAACGCAAAGGCGCGGTCCCATGCCTCCTTCCCCCTCGCCTAGAGGTTGAAGCCACGCTTTGGATATGCGACACCCTCCACGGCCGCCTCGTCAACGAACCAGCTGCACCGGTCGCCCGTCTGCTCGTTGACCAGGGCACAGGGGAGGCCGGAGGCGGCGCCGTCCTCGAAGATCTGCTTCATGATTCCTTTCTTGCCGCCGCCCGTGGCCACGAAGGCGACGCGGACCGCGTGGGTCACGACGGGCAGGGTCAGGGTGATCCGCTTTGGCGGAGGCTTGGGGCTGTCCTCGATGGGGGCGACCCAGGCGGTGGCCTCGCGCAGGAGCTCGTGGCCGGGGAACAGCGAGCAGGTGTGGCCGTCGGGACCGCAGCCGAGGAGCAGCAGGTCGAAGATGGGCAGACGCACGCTGTCGCGGCTGGCGAAGGAGCTGACGAGCACCTGCTCGTAGTCGTCGGCCACCTCGAGGCTCTCCTTGGACAGCAGGCCCGTGTTGATGGAGTGGACGATGGGCTTGCCCTGGTCCGCGGGGATCTTGTCGAGCAGCTCCTTCTTCAGCAGGCCGTAGTTGGAGTCCTCATGGTCCAGGGGCACGATACGCTCATCGGCGAAGAAAATCTCCCACTTGTCCCACTTGATGGTGTCCTCAGGCCCGGAGGCGGGGCTTAGAAGAGCCTGGGCTAGGGTCTTGGGAAGGGAGCCGCCTGATACGGCGAGCTTGAAGGAGTTGTGGCGGGTAATTCCTGCATTTTGGCACTGGATCACGTATGCGCGCAGGGCCGTGGCGAGCGCAGGGACGTCGGGGAAAGGGTAGAGGTTGGCTTGCCCGTGGTTACCCATTGTGACTGATGTGTTCTCCAGACGTAAGTCCTGGCCTCGGAAATAAGGTTGAGAGGCTGTCTAGTGAGTGGACTTTGACTCTGAGGTTGGCGTGCTGGATGAGTATCAGACCAAGATTCGGACGATGATGGACCTGGCCGTGGGGGAGGACCGTTGCGCGATTTGGCCGTGGGGAAAGATGTTGTGCAAGATTGTGCGGGAGTAGTCAAGCTGCAGGAGGCACAGGTGAGAGGATATGACGGTCCCTTGTGCTATGGTGTGGATCAAGATAAGAGAGCAAACAGTGGACAGGGGAAAAGTTTCCCTCGGTGGCCCTCAGTGGGAAGACGGTGACGAAAAGACGGCGAAGCGTCCGTTTGATTCCACCCGAGCTATTCGAGTTCAGTTGAGTTCCGCCTGGTGCAGCAGTGGAGGGGCAGAGTACAGAGGGGCAGAGGGGTAGCTGGTAGGTATGGGAAGGTCCCCTCCTGCTAAATTTCCAGGTTGCGGCGCTATCGATAAGGCGCCAATGCAACCGGCGCGAGAGCTTGCGGCTACAGGGCAAGCAGGGGAGCAGGGAGGCAGGCTTGTGGGTAAAGGGTCCCGATATGCCACAAGAACTTTTCGACGATTTTCTGCTTGCTTCTTTTTATTTGTTCTATCTATCTACTCCCAGACCACGGCGTCAACCTAGGAGTGTCCCCATGAGATGAGAGGCAGCCACAGTATTTCTATTCAGCTCGGCTAATGATGACCTTTGGGAGGAAGAGTCAACAGCGGTTAAATGGCAAGCTTGATAACTAGGAGAAAATGACAGCTCTCCTGCGAGCAGCAACAATAGTCTGGCGACGATAACGAATGTTCGCCGTCAGTATCAAACAAAGTCGACAGGTCAGAAGGACTTCGGCTCGAGTTACCGCCGCCAGGGCCAAGCAGGAACCTGGTTCCTGGTTGGTCCAGCTGGCCTAATCGGGTGCGGTCAAGGTGACGGTGAAGGTGAGGGCGAAGGTGAGATGGGTGGATTCCTTGTGGTTATTGCCGTCTGTTACGAGCTGGTGGTTACTTGCTACCTGAATTTTGAGCAATCAGTCTGCCCCTGCATTTGTCCTACTGCTGACACAGGCCAGATGGCATGCAGTGTTGTTATGATAAGAGGCATAAAGTGTAACCAGGAACCGTAACAGCTGGCACAAAAGTTTGCACGAATCGGGTGTGAATCCTCTTTCTGTAGCAAACCCCTCTCACTTTCGAGACCTTCGCGGGAGCTCCCTGCCCGTCATCGCCTCACTAAGCAACGGCTACCCTTTGGGGTGCACCGACCCACATCAAGCGCTCTTGGCTCCCTTCATGAAGGGCTCGCAGCCTAGGATGTCTGTTCCAGGCCTGTCTAGCAATTCTTGCCTTTGCAGTAGCAGTTTAAATGGGGATTGGGCTCGAGATCAATGCCCTTCGCGCCCCAGGGCGAGGACTGATGTAAGTGTGACGTTGTGCCGTGAAGATTATAGCAGATCTCGAAAGTTTATTTTCTTTGACTGCTGGCATGTAAGGTACGGGTTGCATTTCGATGAGACAGCTCCTGCGGCATCTCCACCTGCTTGTCCAGGCTGAGCTGGGCTTCGATGCGCTGGATGCTTGTCAAGAGCCTTCATAGGTGTGTTGATGAGCTCCCTCCCTGTCCTCCCCCAAGGCCCAAGGGCCCGCTGCGCGGCGAGATGTGGATGATCTCAGTGGCTCGCTGGCTTGATGGCATTCGCCGTGGACATGAGTAAGCCAGCACGTAGATGATCCATTTACACCGCAGCCCAACGACAAGGAGGGTGTTTGACCACCCCAGCTGATTCGCCCGACTGGCTGAGCCAGATGCATGGAAGATTCGTTAGATGTCGATAATGCGCACTGGTTTTTGGCGACAAGGCTGGAGCAGCCAGCCGACGCCACACATTAGCATCGGGGACTGGCGGGATGCCCGACGCACATCAGGCCTGGCCCAGACGGTCCAGATCCTAGGGAAATGAAGGTAAATGAATAGTAATCATCTCCTCGGAGTAACAGGCAGGAATAGGACTGCAAGCATCGTGATCTTCGTCATCGTGGCCCTCAACTTTTCGTTTCCCGTCCGCAGTGGGGTTGCCATGTCGTCATCGTGCGTGCCAGGGTGGCCCCGTTGACCCTCCCTGGGCCGCCGGATAGTGCCCGAGCTCTTTTTGACGCGGCAGTGGGAACGGTGGCATCGGTGTCGCACAACTGCCCCGGTTCCCGGTGGGCCGGTCCGGCTCGAATCAGGCCTGGGCGGGTGTTTTGAGTTTCGTATGCCTGTATGCCTGTATGCCTGGCCGACCAGAGGACGTGTTCGTGCCGAAGTTGCATTTGCAAATCGTGGGATCTGCACGGTCGTGTTGCTTTGCTGTGGTTTGCGTGGGGGTCTGAGTGTGGTCTACTCTACAGTCCACGAGCTTTGGAGGAGGCTAACGCTTCTTGCCACCACTACTCACTTGCCTTGGAGGTCTTTGTGATAGCAAGCAGCACATTTCTTG